TGTCGTTTCATTATAAATTATATGAAATTTGACACAATTTGGAGAATTATTTGCATTTAATACGGATATATATCAATAGAACAATTTTATTTGCTGAGTTCTGCACATCGCATTGTTATTCGAACACACATGCTCCATTTTTAATTGTGGTAAATGCACACCCAGGTGCAGGTGTTTTCGATCTTCACATCTATATATCTATAAAGGTAATCGGACCCGTCCTTTTTTTATAATTATTGGATCCTTCTCAGCAAAAGGTACAGCCGCTATGTCGCTTTTTCTCTTCTTAAATTTTTCTAACTTTTAAAATTGGTCAAAAATTTCCTTCCTCCGTCAAACAACTTATGAATTCTGGTTTAAATAGCTTAAAATGAACTAGTCTGGTCTAAAAATAAGATTTCAATATTTCTTAACTCGCTTAAGTTTCAACAATGGTGAATGTGAAATGAAAGATTTCTGTAACAGTAAATAAGGGTTATAGCGAACTAGCTTTTGGCGAACACCTAGTTTTACATGCACATGTATTTACATGTATAACAAAGCCATGATCTGCAATACAGTACTCAATTTCATTGAAGAATTGCTTGGATTTAATGAATTACTGACTAAATATAACATACATTGTAGCTTTTAGGTATAGGCAACACTGTGTATTTCTCCCATGTTAATAATTTATTTTTCTTTACCTGCAAACAAAACTTGAAAAATCTTAATATCCCCTTATACAAACTTTACAAAATTGACCTACATGTATAGAAGTGTATATATGTATCTGTAGTTTTCGTCGTAAAATGACTTTTGATGTAAAAAAAAAAAACTAAAAAAAAAAAAAAAACAACAGAGATACATTTCTAAGAACAAATGTTTTGTAATCTATATGTCATCAAATGTGTCATCATAACGTGCTAATACAGGACTTGCACGGTACGCTTCGTTTCGTTTTGTGAACGGTACACTGAAATAACATAAATAACAAAAAGTTCAGAAACTGCAAGAATTGTGGCACTGAAATCCCTCCATAACCTTATTCATTAATTTTCTCTTTTCATGTAAGCAAGTTTATTACAAAGTATAAATTGTACTTCGGGTTGGTTGCCACGATGCTCTCAGTAAGGAATATCTATTATTATACAAATTTTACCGATAAATTTATTAGGAAAACCTACTACATATATGTAATAGTCTTTCGATATATAAATATATTCACAACTTATATTGTTATCAATGATTTACCATTATTTCAAAGACCATTCACACAAAAACTTTTTTAAAGTTCATGCGGCTATAATCGCCTCGTTTTCCTTTTTATCATCGGGCTCGATGCTATATGATGTTCTAGAAGCTTCCGTTCAATATTAAGATCGGTGAATGACGAAAATAATTTCCACATTTCTCTTTTTAATCGGTTATCACAACTTATTTCTTTTATATCATTTAAATCAAGCTTTGATTGAATAATTCAGTGATGACATTTTATGAAATAAATAAACGATTGGTTGTTGACAGTTTCATTAAAAATTGCCAGTTAGGCTACTTAGATCCGCCATTTCATGGCTGTTTATACAAAAATGAAAATAGACTTTCATTAATAACTTACTATGCAAGTGAAAACTAAATATAGTTTATAGATATCATCTTTATCTAATGTATTGTTAGAGAAGTGAGTAATAACTCTGATGCAGCCGTTTCGGAGTTTATTTGCAAAATTTATTAATTTATAAGTATAGACATAAAGGATATTTCTATGGCGTATAGCATAAAATTGTCAAAAAATAAAATAAAATAAAGTTAGAATCTAACAGCGTAACAATTTATCACATGTATCCTTCTGGGGTTTTAAGCCACTTACACGAGTAAATAAACATTGATGCAGCAAGGTCAAACGTTTGTGCACAGATGAGTCCTCAGCACGGAGTGTACATTGATCACGTTACGTGCTCCCCGCAATAGTGTTAGCTTGGTAACACAATCTCTATTCATAGAATGTGACGCACTCAGGGGGACCTGATGACGATGATGATTTTGGTGACGATGATGATGATGATGATGACGACGATGTTTTTATTTTCGTTCCCGCTTCTTTTTAAGTTCTTCTTGCTGCTTCCTTAATTTAAAAAAAAAATTCTTGATTCAATAAACAAACAATAAGAAAAATATTTATGATTTTCGTTTATTTGCAAGAAATTTAATGTTATTTTTTTCTTATTAAGTTATAATTCGATTGTTAAGGTGTTTGACCCACTAGAGAAAAACGCAGTGAAACAAATATTAACATTCAAAAGTAAATGGTTAAAGTGCACAGACTTAAAAATTATTACTTTTATTTTGTCTGCGTGTAAATATAACTCTCTCTCTCTCTCTATTATTATTATTATTTCATATAAATGATGTTTGCAGTAATTCCTCAGAAATATATCCCCCCTACAGTGTATTTATTTGCTGATTCAAAGTAAAGACGCAAAGAAGTGTAAAGAGTTAATAACTTTAACCTCAAACGAACATGCAAGATTTATTTTTTATTATTTGCAAAATAATTTCGACATTTAGTCACATTTGTTTTAACTACGTGTAATAAGCTAAAAAAATTTTTTTTACATAATCCCCTCGTAACGAAGTTGGAGGGGATATAGTAACGCGCTTGATTGTAGGGTTAGTGATAGGTGTGTAACGGAAGTGATAATTCACATCGGGATCAATGGTATTAATTTTCTGCTTTGCTGACTTGAATATTTGTTGTGATTCTAACTTAATTATTTTCGTAATATTTAATTACGAAAACAATTAATTAAATTCGTCACCCCGTTTTTGGTTGTTTTTTTTTTGTTTGTTTGTTTGTTTGTTTGTTTTTTTTGTTTTTTTTTTGTTTTGGTTGCCTTTCACAAATTCCGTTTCACACCTTATGTGCAGGCCTAATATCTAATATATTTACTATGCGAATGAAATCTGAATATAGTTTACGGACATCACATTATACCTAGTGTATTATTAGAGGAGTAAGCATGAACTCTGGTGAAGGAGTTTATTTGAAAAATTTATTCATTTTTAAGTATATATTTTATTCTTTAATTGGGTGTCCTTTAGTTTGTTTAAAGAATAATGAATATATAGTTAAAATAACATTGACTATATAGTTAAAATAAACATATTACTAGTATTTGTTAGGCTTTAGGGAAAATAAAATCATGTTTCCTCTCACTAAATGACAAGATGACCCTGTTTTCAGTATGGCTTGTACTAGGTTCGTTCTACTGTTAACGTGTATTATGGGGATCTGCATGGGGCATGGAGAAGAAGTTGATGACATCATTGCTGACGCAGTTCAACAAACGTATAAAGACCCTCATCGCATATTTGGAGCCAGGAACGAAAGTGAGCCCAAAGGAGAATTTATTTACTTGATTATTGCCGTATTTTGGCTGTTTTATGACGAACATTAGATTGAGTTTCTTTTGCAAACCCCCATTCCAACCTCGATCCTATTTTCCCAAAACAACAAAACTGATTTATCACAATTACACTGTTTTGTAAAATGATGAACAAATTTTTGGTAATCGTTACAATCTTTTTTCTTCGAATAAAATGCAACAATGACACCTCCCATCTCGCCATTTTCTTCAGCCACAATGCCTACAACCGGAAACAGATTTGCTTTTCTGCAGAAACAATTGGAGGAAGAAGACAAGATAGCCAAGGAGGGGTACAAGTATGTCGATCTCATCAAGAACCTCGTGAACATGTGAGTTTAACTATTTGTTGGATTTGTATCGTGGTGTCTCTAATCATAATACAAGTATTAGTAAAGCGTATTTGTGCCACTTTTTTATTTTTCATTGTTAACTTCAATCTGTAAAATTTACACTTTAATCTTTAAAAAAATGATTTACACTTCACTCTGTGAAATTTACACCTTAATCAGTAAATTTTACGCTTCAATCTGTAAATTTTACACTTCAATCTGTAAATTTTAGACTTAAATTTTCATGAATGCAATCAATTCAGCAACATCAACGTCATAAATCAACATTAATTTTTGAAAATTTTCTTAAATCTTGTTAAAGATTTTTTTATTTTTATATTGCACGCGTTCCTTCGTTAGGATTTTTACAATTTCTCTTTTGGAGAAATATTTTTTTTGTTCCATCTAGAAGTACTCACATTCCATAAACATGGTAAAGTTCAGTAAATTTAAATTAAATTTCTGTCTATATTATTCCATCTACCTGGTTCAATCAGAAGACGATGATTAGATGTTACATGTTCGTAGTTTTGTAAGTGTAATTCTTAATTCTGTAGGGAAATTCAACAAACAATTTTTGAGACCAAAGTTTGTCTTAAAAATTCTATAATTATTTCAATTAGGTGATATTTCAACATTACTGCTCCATTTTTGCACAATCTGGTTTCCTGTAGTTTCTTTAATAATTGACGTATACCAGTTAAAGCTATGAAACGTTTGCTTGATCCATATATAAGACAGTCAACAAGATTAAGGATATCGGGCGGCACATTTTATTCATAAAAGACTCATCAGTATAACACTTATAAAAATAAAAGAATAAATCGAATTTGAAAGCAAACTTCCAATGGCTGTTAAAATTTACATAACCATTTTTAAGTTTTACAAATATTGACAGTGGGTATCTACCAGTTTCTCCATAAAGTACTTGATTTAAGGTTAAGAATAAATTTTGGTAATCTTAAGTTACTTTCTCTGTTATTATCTAAATTTTCATAGCTTTCGATTTCGCAAAAATAAAGTAAAATTGGGTTGATGACTTTATCAGATCTAGACAAGTCTAGCTAACAGTTCTGTTGAATGTTTCTTTGCAGTATCAAACTTTCAACTTCTTGACAGGAATAAACCCAAATAACAGAATTTTTTCACATTTTCTATAGGCACGCCATTATATAAAAACATTTAGTCACTGGACCTTTGGAAAAAATGAGGACTTTTTTTGTTATATTGACAAGAAGTTTCCATAAATCAAATTAATCAAATTAATACTAGGAGAGACTTTAATTTGTAAAACAAAAGCAGATTCAGACATAAAGACAGAATCATCAACATAAAAGGTATACTAGTGCATAGTTTAAACTTAACAAAAATGTCGTCTTGTATTTGTAACAGACTTGTGTTGTGTGATGATGATGAAAAACAACAAGGCTGTTGGTTCGTGTTAAAACAAGACGGGTATCTTTATTACGATGAATCAATAGTGATGGAAAAATGAAGTAAAGAAACCCTGTAATGAAATAACAAATTATAAATATGCAGCATAAAAACTATAGACTTATTGATCAATATACAATCAATATATAGTTGTGTCAGAATCAAAGGGAGATAATCCAATTATATGAAATATACACAATCAAATCTCCCATTTCTTTAATCAATATATATTTAATCATAAAAACTTTTACAATAATTATCTTGACAATGTATATGTACATGATTAATTATTGTTGCTCATAAAAACAATATTATTCATACCATTCAATGGGAATGGGCCATATATACTGCAGCACATATATATCTAAGCTGCATACACTAGACAGACAGATCAATATCTACAAATCAACAACAAACAACTTTGTAGATATCTACACTAAGCATAAAATAAAGTTTACTTTAAAAATATGAATAAGTGAGACATCCATGAATTTACTATTTACATATAACTTTATATCTACAGTCTCACTCTCACTATTCATTTACTCCAGGAAAAGTGACTTTAGGAATTAAGTGCAAAATTACAAATTTCATATTTATAAAATTAGAATAATATATTAACATTAGTATGAAAGAATTACTTACCATGCAAGTGGAAATATAAGTCTCAATGTCAAAAGGTCTTATGGAATATGAAAAACTGAGTCACCAAGACATGACCATACTTTCCACTGCTAAACCAGAATTAATCAAAAACACAAAGAAAACTTGGAGGGAAAAACAAAACCCAATCCAAAAGCATAAGACAAACTAAAAATACCAATGAAATTAAAAGATACAAAATGACCTTGGCCAGAATATAATTACAGGCCCTGAGGCTAACTCTGGACCTCTCTGGAAAAGAATAATTTAAAAGTCAATACACTTAACTACAGATTAAATGAATAATTGTATGATTCAGCTGTAGCAGTGTGCTGCAAATAAAGATATATACATAATTAGATCATATGAATAAATGCACATGCAGTATGCATTGCTATGCACATGTGCATATTATATAAAAACATGAGTCTGTCACATATTTATTGACTAGGACATATAAATCATCTACTTGATTTCTTGTCAAATAATCTTCTAGGTTATTAATAGACAAAGGTCTCCTAGAATAAAACATAGCACTAATTCAATTATTATGCACAACTATTGAACTAATGGTATTTTAAAATATTAACTTAGTACTTAGTATTAAAGTAGAGGACCACCTTTACTACTACTACTACTAATATCTATCTATCTATCTATCTATCTATCTATCTATCTATCTATCTATCTATCTATCTATCTATCTATCTATCTATCTATCTATCTATCTATCTATCTATCTATCTATCTATCTATCTATCTATCTATCTATCTATCTATCTATCTATCTATCTATCTATCTATCTATCTATCTATCTATCTATCTATCTATCTATCTATCTATCTATCTATCTATCTATCTATCTATCTATCTATCTATCTATCTATCTATCTATCTATCTATCTATCTATCTATCTATCTATCTATCTATCTATCTATCTATCTATCTATCTATCTATCTATCTATCTATCTATCTATCTATCTATCTATCTATCTATCTATCTATCTATCTATCTATCTATCTATCTATCTATCTATCTATCTATCTATCTATACAAACTATGCAACCACTTGTTAACATCTCAGTCTGTACGACTTATAACTGTGAACCAGTCATTTTTTAATTTTCATACATCATAGGGATAACACCATGTTTTGACCGTTCAATTACATGTAATACTAATTTTACAGATTAAAGCATAACTTTTACGTACTAATCCATATATGTAAAATTTACAATATAAAGAGTATATTTTCCAGATCAAAGTGTGAGTTTTTCAGATTAATGTGTGTTTACAGAATAAAACATGGCTGATATTGATATAATTATAATGTATTGCAGCGATTAATGGATATTAATAGTTTGCAATTTACCCGAAGAAACTGTGATTGCGTCAGCAGTGTCACCATACATTCCATTCTTTTAAACTGACGTATTTAATTTGCCGTTCTTGTTTTTGCTATCACAAAATTCATCTATATTTTCTTTAAGAGTAAACCGTCTCTTAAAAGATTGTTCTGATTGTTACGAAATCTGCTTGAAAATTATCATCTGATATATTCACAATATTCTCAGACAGAAGTGGTCTTTTCACAAGAATCTTATATCACTACTGTGAGATGTGGTTTGTTATTTTCATCCAATGACATTTGCTGCCCTACAGGTACATGTATATGTACCTTATACAGATTGTCAAGATAACAAATTTGCCAGCTTTGATATCCTGATACTATAAATTTTTTGTACATGTCCAAACAAATGAAATGTGTTTGCGTTTCCGAATTTTTAGGTCACCTGAGGCACTCAGGTGACCTATTGCTATCCGTTTTCGTCCGTCGGCGTTAACATTTGAACATTTTTAGCTTCTTCTCTGAAACCGCTCAACCAATTTCAACCAAATCTGGCATATAGCATCTACGGGTGAAGGGAAACAAAACTTGTGAATTTCATGGTCCCTGCCCCCGCTGGGACCTGAGGGGTTGGGCTAAAACCACCAAAATTAATGCAATATTTAAAAATCTTCTTTACTCTTGGACATCAAGCAGACAAACTGTTGGCATGATTGTAATAAGCAATGAGCCCTCTACCAAAATTGTGAAATTCATGGCCCCAGGGTCAGGGGTTCTGGTGCTAGGGTGGGCCTATATAGATCATATAGTGAAAGTGCATTGTTTCTTTGAAAATCTTCTTCTCTGCTCCTGGATATTAAATAAAGTAACTAAGTACATACTTATGAAGAGCAAGAGTGCCTCTTCCAAAATTGTGAATTTCATGGCCCCAGGGTCAGGGGTTCTGGTGTTAGGGCATGCAGGGCTCTATTGATTTTATAATTAAAATGCATTAATTCTTTGAAAATCTTCTTCTCTGCTCCTGGGTATTAAATAAAGTAACTAGGTACATAATTATGATGAGGAAGAGTGCCTCCTCCAAAATTGTGAATTTCCAGGCCCTTGGGTCAGGGGTTCAGGTGTTAGGGCGGCGTTGTAATGATTATGTAGTGAAAATGCATTAATTCTTTTAAAATCTTCTACTCTGTTCCTGGGTATTAAACAAGAGGCCCATGGGCCACATCGCTCACCTGAGCACATTGGCTAGGCAAAAGCAAAAATCAGTTCAGTATTGAAAAGATTACCTGGGGGTGGGTGGGGGGGGGGGGAGGGGGGTTTGAATTTTAAACTACCTGATGATGCTTCCATGTCAATATAACAAATGGCTTTATTGTACTTGAGAAGATTTAAAAAAAAAATTTCCCATATATTCCTTTGTAAAAATTTGATCCTCCATTGTGGCTCCTCCCTATCCCAGGGGTCATCATTTGAACTTGAATCTACACTACCTGAGGATGCTTGCATATCAATATGACTAAACATAGCTTTCCTGTTCTTGAGAAGAAATATTTTTTCTATATGTTCTTATGTAAAACTTTCGATCCCCCAATGGGCCCCATCCGACCCCTGGGGGTCATCATTTGAACAAAATTGAATCTACACTACCTGAGGATGCTTCCATATAAAAATGACTAATCATGGTTTGCAGTTCTTCAGAAGAAGATATTTTCCTATATATTTCTATTTAAGACTTTGATCCTCCGTTGTGGCCCCATCCTACCCACGGGGTCATGATTTGATCAAAATAGAATCTACACTAGCTGAGGATGCTTCCACATGAATATGATCAATCAGGGCTTTGCTGTTCCTGAGAAGAAGATTTTAAAAAATTTTCCTATACATTTCTATGTAAAACTTTGATCCTCCATTGTGGCCCCGCCCTACCCCCGGGGGTCATGATTTGAATAAATTTTAATCTACTCTACCTGTGGATGTTTCCATATATATAAATATGAACAATCTGGGCTTTGCTGTTCCTGAGAAGATTTTTCCTATATATTTCTATGTACAACTTTGATAGTCCATTGCGGCCACGCCCTACCCCTGGTGGTCATGATTTGAACAAACTTGAATCTACACTAGAAAATTTTTCCTATATATGTATTTCTATATAAAAATTTGATCCTTCATTGTGGCCACGCCCTACCCCCGGGGGTCATGATTTGAACAAACTTGAATCTACACTACCTGAGGATACTTCCATATAAATATGACTCATCATGGCTTTGCTGTTCTTGAGAAGAAGATTTTTCAAGATTTTTCCTATATATTTCTATGTAAAACTTTGATCCTCCATTGTGGCCCCGCCCTACTCCCTGGGGTCATGATTTTAACAAAATTGAATCTACACTACCTGAGGATGCTTCCATATAAATATGACTCATCATGACTTTGCTGTTCTTGAGAAGAAGATTTTTAAAGATTTTTCCTATATATTTCTATGTAAAACTTTGATCCTCCATTGTGGCCCCCCCCTAACCCGGGGGTCATGATTTGAACAAATTTGAATGTACACTACCTGAGGATGCTTCCACATGAGTTTCATCTTTCCTGGCCCTATGGTTCTTGAGAAGAAGATTTTTAAATGTTGCCATTATTTTTTCAATAATTCCTAATTATCTCCCCTTGAAAGAGGGCGTGGCCCTTCATTTGAACAAACTTGAATCCCCTTAACCCAAGGATACTTTGTGGCAAGTTTGGTTGAAATTGGCCCAGTGGTTCTTGAGAAGAAGTCGAAAATATGAAAAGTTTACAGACAGACAGACGGACAGACAGACAGACGGACGCCGGACAAAATGTGATCAGAAAAGCTCACTTGAGCTTTCAGCTCAGGTGAGCTAATAAAGTAACTAAGTACATAGTTATGATAAGCATGAGTGTCTCTTCCAAAATTTTGAATTTCATGGCCCCGGGGTCAGGGGTTTTGGTGTTAGGGCAGGGCTCTATTGACTATATTGTAAAAATGCAATAATTCTTTGAAAATCTTCTCTGCTCTTGGGTATTAAATAAACTAACTAAGAACAAAGTTATGGTGAGCATGGCTGCCTTTTCAGAAAATGAAATTGAGAATTTCATGGCCCCAGGGTCAGGGTTTCTGGTGTTAGGTTTGGGCTCTATTGATATATATAGTGAAAATGCATTAATTCTTTGAAAATCTTCCTCTCTCTCCTGGATATTAAATAAACTATGTACATAGTTATGATGAGCGTGGCTGCCTTCTCATAAATTATGAATTTCATGGCCCCTGGGTCAAGGGTTCTGGTGATAGGCGGGGATCTATTGATTATATAGGGAAAATGCATAAATTCTCTCAAAATCTTCTTCTCTGCTCCTGGATATTATTCAAACAAAGGAAGTGCATGGTTATGATAAGGAAGAATGCCTCTTTCAAAATTGTGAAATTCATGGCCCCTGGGTCAGGGGTTCTGGTGAAGGGGGGGAGGTCCATTAATTATATAATGAAAATGCATAATTTCTTTCAAAATATTTTTTTTCTACTACTTGTTATAAAGCAAAGAAACAAGTGTATAGTTATGAAGGGCAAAGGTGCTTCTACCAGAATTGTGGGTTCATGGCCCCTGGGTCAGATGCTCTGGTGTAAGGGTGGGGCTTTATTTATTTGATAATATAGTGAAAATGCATTTCTTTGAAAATCTTCTATGCTTCTGGGCATATTCGAGGCAAACAGAGTAAAAAATTTAATATGCAAAGGTATTTTTACCAGAATTTTGAACACCTGGACCATTTAGTCAAGTGTTCTGGTCCTGGCCAGGGCTCTATTAACTTGTATTCTGCTGAACAAAGTTATTCCCCTTTGCCATTCACCTTTTATAATTAATCACTGTAGGTAATGTATTTGAAAGGTTAACAGAATACGAGAATTATGCAAGAATATTTATTGTATAAAAAAAAGTAGTTTCATAGTTTTAATGATCAGATAGACTTGGAAATAATAGATGAATAAAAATGAGAAAAAAATAACTTATCTTTTTAAATGTTCTTCAAAGGCCAAGTGAGAGGTCAATGTGAGACGTTATAATATGGGGTTAAAAAATAGACATTTTGTTAATAGTCTGCATGGTAATAGTGATAAATGGAGGACAGATAGACCAATTATTTTGTTGATGCTAATCATAATTTTTCTTGGTTTTGGGCAACAAAGCTTCATTTATCAGTTTATGGATCCTCTAAATTGTTGTATTGTACTCAGATGACCGTTAAGGCCCTTGGACCTCTTGTGATAACAAATTTGCGATTGACCAAGACCTAAAAGCTCTATAAATACATGTACTACTTATCTTAAACATTAGTCAAAGTGCCCCGTGTTCACTTTTCAACCAATGTCCCATTCAAAGGACAACAGAAATCATGTTTTAAGAAAGGGAAACAACTCAAACTGTTCATTCTATTAGAGGTTTGCCTAGCTTTCTTCTTACTAAAGAGGAACAAGGGCAATTAATTCTTCTAATATTGATGTTCTAATGTATGTTTTCAGATCGGGAAGAAGCTTCAGAGATCTACAAAGAAGTGACCAATTCCAAGCTTCTTTTGAGGAACAACTTTGTGACAAGGTAATTCCAGTGTGTGAAGAATATGAAGTTTGCAGATACCGAAGCGCCACTGGTGTATGCAACAATCTTTTCCATCCAACATGGGGAATGGCACTGCAGGCGCATGCGCGATACCTACCACCCGTTTATGTTGATGGTAGGTAGAAAACAAGTACAACACTTTTAAAAAGCTTTGCCGTCTTTAGGAACGACCTTTAATAGTAAATTGGCTTGAACGCATTATTATGTAATTCTTAGCTTTGACTTCTTTAATAGAGTTTTTCAGACATTGACCATTTCGTGTAAAAGACATCACCCCCACTTCCCAATGTAAAACAAACAGAGAACAAGAGGCCCATGGGCCACATCGCTCACCTGAGCACATTGGCTAGGGAAAAAAACAAAAATCGGTACAGTATTGAAAAGTTTACAGGGAGGGGGGTGTTGAATCTTAAACTACCTGATGATGCTTTCATATCAATATAACAAATATCTTTGTTGTTCTTGAGCAGCAGATTTTTTTCCCATATATTCATTTGTAAAAATTTGATCCCTCATTGTGGCCCCACCCTACCCCCGGGGGTCCTCATTTGAACAAATTTCATTCTACACTACCGAAAGATGCCTCCATATCAATTTGACTAATCATGGCTTTTCTGTTCTTGAGAAAAAGACTTTTTCCTATATATTCCTCTGTAAACTTTGATCACCCATTGTGGCCCCAACCTATCCCCGGGGTAATGATTTGAACAAACTTGAATCTTCACTATCTGAGGATGCTTCCATATAAATATGACCAATCATGGCTTTACTGTTCTTAAGAAGAAGATTTTTAAAGATATTTTCCTATATATTTCTATGTAAAACTTTGATCCCCCCTTGTGGCCCCACCCTACCCCCGGGGGTTATTATTTGAACAAATTTGAATCTTCACTACCTGAGGATGCTTCCATATAAATATGACCAATCATGGCTTTACTGTTTTTAGAGATATTTTCCTATATATTTCTATGTAAAACTTGGATCCCCGATTGTGGCCCCACCCTACCCCCGGGGGTCATGATTTGAACAAACTTGAATCTACACTACCTGAGGATGCTTCCACAAAAATATGACCAATCATGGCTTTGCTGTTCTTAAGAAGAAGATTTTTAAAGTTTTTTTCTATATATTTCTATGTAAAACTTGGATCCCCCATTGTGGCCCCACCCTTCCCCCGGGGGTCATGATTTGAACAAACTTGAATCTACACTACCTGAGGATGCTTACATATAAATATGACCAATCATGGCTTTACTGTTCTTAAGAAGAAGATTTTTAAAGATATTTTCCTATATATTTCTATGTAAAACTTGGATCCCCCATTGTGGCCCCACCCTATCCCCGGGGGCCATGATTTGTGCAAACTTGAATCTACACTACCTGAGGATTTTTCCACATAAGTTTCATCTTTCCTGGCCCAGTGGTTCTTGAGAAGAAGATTTTTAAATGATGCCATTATTTTTTCACTAATTCCTAATTATCTCCCCTTGAAAGAGGGCTTGGCCCTTCATTTGAACAAACTTGAATCCCCTTAACCCAAGGATGCTTTGTGGCAAGTTTGATTGAATTTGGCCCAGTGGTTCTTGAGAAGAAGATGAAAATGTGAAAAGTTTACAACAACAACAACAACGCCGACGCCAACGCCAACGACAACAACGACGACGGACAACGGACAAATTTTGATCAGAAAAGCTCACTTGAGCCTTTGGCTCAGGTGAGCTAAAAAAAGAAAACAAAAAGCAATACGTGTATTTAGAAAAACACAAATGAATAGATAAATAAACAAACATAAAAAAGAAAAGAAAGAAAGAAAGAAAAACATGAGGGCCAAGAGCCTTAACGGTCACCCGAGTATAAATACAACACTGTTAAGGAGAAGTATAAAAAACAAGAGGCCCAGGGGCCTTAACGGTCACCTGAGTATAATACAATATTGTAAATGATCCACAGAAGTATAAAACTTGAGGTACTGTGAGCGAGATCACAAAATAATACCCCCGCTTCATTTTTTAAAAGTGTTCATTCAAATTTTGTAACTTTTTGTAAATGTGACCTTGAACTTGCCAAAATCGACCTTTGTTAAAAAAAACGACATATCCTCTGGTCTTAAGTAAACTTTTAGTGAAATATAGATACCCATTGTTTCTCTATTAGTTAAATAATAGACCTGTCATGAATTTTACACTTTTTATACCAGTGACCTTGAATATGCCAAAATGAACTTGGGTCAAGGTTATGGCACACAACCAGGCCCCGGGATCATGAAACATCTTAAGCTTAAGTCAAAATCTTTATCTTGTTCTTAAATGTTATCGAAGTCAAGCAGACCATAATTTTTCAATATTGCTTCATGAAAGTGTTGCTATCTGCAAATTTAGAGATAAAGTCGACAATTATGAAACATTTTACAGGCGATTGAAAATTTGACTTAAGTCTAGGTTGTTTCATGATCCTGGGGCCAGAACATAAACAATCTTTGTACCAAGTATGAGTTTCCAATGATTCTCCATTACAAAGTTATAGGCTAAACAAGAATTTTATGCTTTTTCTGCCATTGCCCTTGAACATCCCGAAATGACAAATGTTCAAGGTCATGACAAACCCTCAGGTCTTATATAATGTTCTAACCAAGTATGAGCTTCCAGTGATTCTTTATTACAAAGTTATAGCCCAAACAAGAATACTATACTCCCCACAAACATCAGAATCCCTGAACCTAGAGCCACAAATTTCACAATTTTGGAAGAAGCACCCTTGCTCGCCACAACTATGCACTTAGCTTATTTGTAAAATCCACAGGAGCAGAGAAAAAGATTTTTTTTTTTTAAATTAATGCATTTTCACTATAATATTATAATCAAAAGAAAAAAATAGAGCCCTACCCTGACACCAGAACCCCTGACTAAGGGGCCATGAAATGCATTAACTCTTTTAAAATCTTCTTCCCTGCTCCTGGGTATTTAGTAGATAAAGTATGTGCATGGTTATGATGAGCAAGGGTGTTTCTTCCAAAATTCCATGACCCCTTGCTCATCATTACTATATATTAAGTCTGTTTGCTTAATACCCAGGATCAGAGAAGATTTTCAAAGAATAATGCATTTTCACGATATCATCAACGGAGCACCCCCCCCCCCCTCCCCAACACAAAACACAAGAACCTCTGACCCTGGGGCCAAAATATTTCACAATTTTAAAAGAGAAATCCTTGCTCATCATAACATTGCATTTAATTTATCTGCTAAATATACAAGGGGAGAGAAGAAGATTTTTAAAAGAACTTGTGCATTTTCACTAAATGATCATTAGAGCCCCATCCTAACTCCAAAACCCTTAACCTTGGACCATGAATTTCAAAATTTTGGTAAAGGTCTCACTGCTTATTACATATCATGCCAACAGTTTGAGTGCTTGAAGTTCAAGAGTAAAGAAGACGATTCTTAAAGATAGCATAAAACGATTTCTTGTTCTCAGTTTCGATGCGCGGATCTAAAAGGGGGGGGGGTCGGCCCCCCTGGAATTAATTAGCAGAGTTATCAAAAGTATATAGTGAAGCAAATAAAGAAAATGACTTTTGCCCCCCCCCCCCCCCCGGAAAACATCGACCCCACCACTACCATCACGAAAAAGGTTTCTTTGACGTCGGTGAGAGGGATTTTACAGTTTTTTTGGCTTGTCAAGATCTTTATGGGAGAAAATTTTTTGACTGGAGTGGATCCCCCCTAGAAAAAATTCCTGGATCCGCGTCTGGTTTTATTAAAAATTGCCAGTAACTTAGGTTCGTCAACTGTAACCAGCCCCGTACTCTCTTTTTGCATGCTATTTCACGGTGTTTTATCGAAAGTAAACTTTTAATTAAATTTATGATAATTACTTTGAGTTTTGGGCATCATCTCATATGTACGGTAATATTAGAGGAATAATTTTGAACTCTTGTGCAGGTGTTTTGGAGTAAAGTTGCAAAATAATTAATTTTTAAGTATAGATATAATAGCTGACCTCATTCCTTTATGTCCGAGTTACACATCATCTCAAGCCACGCTCCAGGTTCCGCATATAGCTTTCTCCTACCCGTGGTCGCTTCATCATATTAAGTATTGTTATTTTTTAAATATGCACGACATTCATGCTCAAGCAATCATGATAGGAATTGTTATTACCGTCTTCCTTTGAAGACGGTATACAGAGTTGAAGTGTTTTACAGTCTTCGGACTTTGCACTTCCTCTCTTTTGTGATTGGTAGAAAATACATGAAGTGAACATTTTCAATTATTTCATTGGTTAAAATGCTGTTCACGGCAAGGGAGATAATGTTTTGGTGACCTAATTTTCGAACGACTTAGCAATTTTTCTAGATTTTCAATCTTAAAAAATATCGACAAAACGAACAAAAAAAATTGCAATAAATGAAACTGTCACTTAAATTTTTTTTATAGCAACTATTAAAAAGTGGGTTTTCTTAAATTTTAATGGTTAACAGAAATTGAGTGCAAACATTAAAATTTGTATTAATCCTTTTGTTTTTGGTCTTACTTTGTTTTTGCACTGTCTTTTCTAGTAGGGCGACGACCATTTGATTCTAAAAAAGGGGGGGGGGCTGGCAAAAATTTTTGAGTCAAATTATTTATTTTCAGACCAGCCAAGGAGAGATTATTTATTTTCAAGATGATCAAGAACAGATTATTTATTTTCTTTTTCACTGAAAAAAGTTTATCTGTAACAAATCTGTTGACGAAATAAAAAGCCAAGAACAACTAAAAAATAATATCTCAATATACGGTGTCATTACTGAAAACAACGTTTAGTTAATTTTTCAAGTGAGAATTGATTACACTATTTCTGATAATCTAATATATATTTTTTAATTCTATAGGCTATAATAGTCCGCGGCAAAGAAGCAGAAATGGAGGAAAACTTCCCAGTCCAAGAGAAATAAGTAACAAAGTTTTGGAGGGAGGTGCAAACACCCCTACAGACAGCAAGAATAACTTGATACTATTCGCCTTTGGACAGTTTCTAGATCATGACTTAACGTTTACTCCAATCGCTATTGGTAAAATACATATTTCTCCTTCAACCCCCCCCCCCACACACACATTTCTCCTTTAATCCCTTCTTTTAAAACATACATTTCTCTCTCCTCTCCTCCTTCAATCCCCACAACAGATTTTCCTTCCTCCCCTCCTACACTTCATTTTGATTTACATAAATTTTACGAGCTTGTCTCCGTTTTAGGAATACATATATTATATTCTCATTAATTTTTTTATCATTAAAATCAATGGGCAAATGACTATATCACCAGATTAATTTCTATTTTAGAGATCTATTTTAAAGTTAGCCTGAAAGGAAAATTTCGTATAATTTTGAATGTTTAGATATGTAACTATGCCAATTGATTCTGCATTGCGTTTTCAACCATCTTGATAAACGCTTATTTTTCATTAAGGAAGTAATGGCCGACCTCTTGATTGTTGTGGAGTTGACATGTCGGAGTAAGTTTTTTACATGTATCAATAAATATTCGATGATAAAATTGAAACACAATATTATAGATATACTTTCATTGAAGAACAGTTTTACTTTTTTAGGTCACCTGTGTTACTCAGGTGACCTATTGCTATCCGGTTTTGTCCGTCGTCGTGCGTCGTCCGTCGTTCGTTAACTTTTGAACATTTTCAGTTTCTTCTCTAGAACCGCATAACCAATTTTCAACCAATTTTGGCATATAGCATCTTTGGGTTAACGGGAACAAAAATTGTGAATTTTAGTCCCAGGGGTGGGGCTAAAACCACCAAAATTTAAAAATCGTCTTCTTTACTCCTGGACATCAAGCAGTCAAACTGTTGGCAAGATTTTAATTAGCATTGGGCCCTCTACCAAAATTGTGAAATTCATGGCCCCAGGGTCAGGGGTTCTGGTGCTAGGGCAGGGCTATATAGATCATATAGTGCATTATTTCTTTGAAAATCTTCTTCTCTTCTTCTGGGTATTATTTAAACAAACTAAGTTCATGGTTTTGAAAAGCATTAATGCCTTTTCCAAAATTGTGAATTTCATGGCCGCTGGGTCATTGGTTCTGGTGTTAGGGCAGGGCTCTATTGATTATATCGTGAACATGCATTAATTCTTTGAAAATCTTCTTCTCTGCTAATGGGTATTATTTAAACAAACAAAGTGCATGGTTTAGTGGTTATGATGCATAAGGATGCTTTTTCAAAAATTGTGAAATTCATGGCCCCAGGGTGGGGGGGGGGGGGCTCTATTGATTATATAATGAAAAAGCTCTTGGTTATAAAATAAAGAAAAAAGTCTTTTGGTATGATGAACAAGAGTGCTTCTTCCAGAATTGTGAGTTTCAAGGCCCCTAAGTCAGTTGTTCTGGTGTTAGGGCAGGGCTCCATTGATTATATAGTGCATTAATTCTGTTAAATAATCCTGTCTGCTCCTTAGTGTTGAGCAGATAAATAAAGCACATAGTTATGATGAACAATTGTGCTTCTTACAAAATTTTCAAAACTTGTGGTCCACAGGTTTTGTTGTTTCTCGGGGCTGGGCGGGGGGGGGGGGGGGCTATATTGATAATAAAGTGAAAATGTGTTACTTCTTTGAAAATCTTCAACTAAGTGCATAGTTATGATGATGATGATGATGAGGGTACCTCTACCAAATTTGTGAATTTCATGATCTTGGGACATGGGTTTTAGTGTTAGGGTGGGGCAGTGTTGAATCTGTAGTGAAAATGCATTCTTCTCTGCTCCTTGGCATATCGAAGCAAACAGAATAAAAGTTTTAATAAGCAAGGATATTTTTACCAGATTTTTGAACATCAGGACCATTCGGTCAACTGAAGTGTTCTGATCCTAGCCAAGGCTCTATCAGTTTGTATTCAACTGAGAGAATTAAGTTATTCCCCTTTGCCATTCACTTTTGATCACTGTAAATAATGTATTTGAAAGTTAATAGAAAAGAGAATTATGCAAAAAATTTTATTGTATAATACAAAAAGTACTTTCGTAGTTTTAATGATCAGGTAGACTTGTAAATATTTAATAATGAAAATGAGACAAAAATAACTTATTAAAAGTTCTTTAAAGACCAAGAGAGGCCAATATGAGAGGTCACAATATGGGGTTAAAAGTAGTACAGAAGAACTAATAGTGTGTTAATAGGCGCATGATGATAGTGCTAAATGAGGGATAGATTAGAATTTAATGTATGAGTTGTTACTGAATACTAGACTTATTATTTCATTGATCTTGATCATCCTATTTCTCTTGCTTTTGGGCAACAAAGCTTCATCTAATCAGTTTATTTTAAATACTCTATGGATCCTCTAAATTGTTGTATTATACTCAGGTGACCGTTAAGGCCCTTGGGTCTCTTGTTATTATCATCTTTTTACTGATTTTTCATTGTGAAAGTATTGGTATTGTTAAAGTATTGCTCTAGTAAATCAATGAAATTTTATTTACTGAATGTCCAAAGAATCCAAAACATTTTGGAAAAAATCGTGAGGGGCCGATCATAAAAAATTCTAATATATGTAAAACAAAATTTATAAGTATTTTTGACCGGGGAGGGCGTGTGTGTGTGTGTTAAATTATGATAAGTAGACTGATTTTCAAATATTATTTAAATTTTCACATGTGAAGAATCCAATCGTCATCCATTGTTAAAATCAAACCAATATTAAGACTATAACCAACAGAAACTTTGATTACATCACATGAATAATAATTATTACGTCATGAAAAATAACTTAAGATTTGCGGATTTTATCTAAATTTATGCCTCTTTTCAGAAATAAATCTCATTGTAACATAAATTTTCCAAAAAAAGGTATGACTGAATATTCCATTATACTTTTCAGCCCTGAGTGTATTCCAATAGAGATCCCAGCCAATGATAATCGGTTTCCTAACAGATCATGTATGGACTTGTCTCGGTCCATACCTGCCCCATTTCATGAGGGCTGCAGCATAGGTGAAGTATCTTATATTGAGGTCTATCATTCCTCTGATCATTCATAATTAATTGTCCTTAAAAAGTAATGATATGCTAAAATGTACATCATTCCAGCCTACCTTGCGAAGCACAATTTAACAAAAATGGCCTTTTAACTCGACCGTTTCACTTAGAACAGTGCGTTATTTGATTCCGGACACGATAAAGTCCGGACTTTTATATGTTTTACTACCATTTTTAATTGTTATCTCGGGAAAAAAGTTCTCGGAGGGATTTTTTTAGCAGTATCACATTCTCTCATGTTGAACTCACAAACATATCTATTTTTAAAAATATCGTCCTAAGTATAAGATAGCAACCATCATTTATCTTAATGAGTGTTATTCCGCTTACCAGAGGGTGAATGAACCCTAATATTAAAGAAGTTTTGTTGTAGTTGTCGTTCCTATTTTAATTTTTTTATTTGATTAACTTTTTCCGATCACAAAAGCAACGATTTTCACGACTTAAAAATACAATGATTAATATTCATTCACTTGCTATTACAAATACTAGTATCAGATGACTCTTACTTTCAAGATTTAATGTTAATTTAGCACTTTTCACTAATATTGCTAGTAAATAGATAAAAAAATCTAATTCAAGTTGATCAAGATTTTTTCTTGTCTGTTTACAAAACTTTTAATATAATAGAGTTACTACACTTTTACATCTATTATGATTTATAATAAAATTTTAAAACAGAATATATGATATAGATCACAGTTAAAATTACCCTTTGGATCCACCAATAAATGAGTGAACAAGCAACATGGTTCTTAATTTTTTACTTTTGCTGACAGGGTACAGAGAACAAGTGAACCGCCTATCCTCCTTCATTGATGCGGGAATGATATACGGAGACTCAAAACTTTTCAATGAGAATCTAAATGGACGTGTTGGTTTGTTGTTGTTTTTTTGTTTGGTGGCTGTGAATTGACTATTATATATGCATTATGTCGAAGACGCCTTTCTATTTCTTCAATTTAAACAAAATCCTCTTTTAAACATTGCCCCCCATTTCCCTGCCTGCGTTAATAAATTCATCAATTCCAGTGGCAATATTTATATTTTCCAATGACATTGGAGTCATTGGGAATGATTAATTAAAACGTCATTCTGAATATAGCAATATATATGTGTGAAAAATTACATATATCTTGACGGTTTTCGTGGGCCTGTGAAATGTTTGTTAGAAGTGTGGTTTACTCATTGATAGGTGCTTTGAGGACATCTACTGGTGACCTTCTCCCTCCAGGAGGGGTCTGTGAGATTAAACAACCTGAGGACTTTTGTCAACTTGGTGGTAAGCTATCTATAACAGACATTTTGCTTGATTTTGTAATTATCGATGAAAATTCCCGCATATTGAAACTACAGGCAAACCTGGTTATCTTGAACTCGATTGAGCCGAGAAAAAACTTCGAGATATATATCCAAGGGTGCGGAATATTGAAGGCATTGATTCTGTAGAATAAGTTGTTTTGGCGAAACCTTATTTTTGTGAAATATGCTTTTGGTATTCATAAGCAAGAGGAAAACCTGAACCTTAATACATGTATTTAACATATACGGGAGAATGAGGCTCTTGCGAACAAATTATCTCGTGTAACAAATCTGAAATTAAGTTCTCGTGAATGAAAAGTGTTTTTCAGTACACAAACCAACTGATTGTGTATAAATTTATCAAAAATATATACTTTTACTTTGGGAAATTGGGATGACCTTGACTTGTAACAGATATAATACATTTTAGTTTTTGCAACTGGATTGAACTTTGAGTACTTTTCCTGATCAAATAATAATTACAGGCATGTATACACAGGCACGTAAAATCGTTTTTCAAAGTGGGGAGGCCAGCCAGGAAAAAATCTTCCCTATTTCGTGGGGGGGGGGGGGATTCCAACTTCCCTAACAACCAAATTTTATTAACACATGTACATTACCAAATTACCATATGTTTAACTATGCTACGACAAAATGGGGGGGGGGGGGGCAGACTATGAACATTTTCAAAAGTAAAATGTTTTATTTGAAAAAGAGTAGGGGAGCCCCCCTTCCCCCGATACCATGTGCCTAGCTGATACAAATGCTTTCGAAATTTTTTATTTCGAAATGTTCGAAACTATTAACGTTTGTCGAAATATCTTTCATCAAATAATTCAGTTTTCAATGTGGAAGTATGTTCATTCAGTACGTATTTTCTGACCATTTACACACATACATTGAAGGCATCTTTTTACTGATTTGTGTACTAAAGGAATGTTGTTGTTGTTTTTTTTTCTTCTTTTTTTTGTGTCAGTTATTGGTGTGTAAATCACATTGACTTGTGTTGTAGGTATATTTCATGACCGCTTCATGAAAAATATGCTACGTGCAAGTCGGTGTGAGTTAAAAAAAACAATAAATCACTGAAAACTTAAAAATATTACATTTCACATGTTTAAACGTAGCAAAATTAAACTAAATTTTTGATTTTCTCGATGCCCTATATCGTTATATAATTATATTTATTAACATCTCTGTAGCCTCACTGTGACGTCACTTAAGCGCAGGTTTTTCCGTGTATACATGTATTTCTACGCTTGAGTCACAGGCGCTTGACGTTTTAAACCTTTCTTTTCATAAATAAAAAACCCCCCATATTATAATAATAACAAGGTCCGTCACGGTCGCCATCTTGAATTTTTCAGTTCAGCTACTTCGCCTCAATTTCTAGTCTACAATGTGTTTAAAATTAACGGATACAACCGTTTCCCTCAAGTACTTACTTTAACTATGCCCCCACTTTCGGGCAATTCAACTCAAATCACATTAAATCCTCTCTAGTTCTTAAAATATCGCTTCAAACTCAGTCTACTGCTACCGATTTCGTAAAACTTAGAAAAGGGAGGCCGGAAGTTGATGTGGTTATGTAAATGGAAATTCCCTCTACTTAAATTTAATTGGTTAAAAGAAATATGACGTTTCGTGGGAAAAATCATGCACTTTTTCGACATGTTGAATGCTGAGCAGGCCGATGCTTTCCATAATCATCAGAAATAATATGTGAAAGATTTTTTTTTCTTTTATTTTGTTGAAGAAAAAATCATGAGGAAATAAGAATTATGCTTGGTCCTGGAATTCTGGTTACTAATTTCTCATATAAACCAGGCCCCTTGCATTCTGGCATAAATATTTCTTCTTTATAATAGTACTATTTTCAGTGTTTGGAAGCGATAAAAATTTTAAACTACTTTGAGTTGTGTAATTCAAGGTCAGACATCCTAGATAAATCCTTTTAAAACATTAAAAAGAAGGATAAATATGTGTATGTTTTATTTTCATCACAGTGGTGAGCTGGTCCAGATCACTGAACCTCCATGTCCTCTCTTTCTACAGGCGCGTAGCCGTCTCTGCAAGTACGCAAGTGCGTTTCTACACATCGTTTTAAAAAAAAAATCTAGGTCTGAGAGAGAGAGAGAGAGAGAGAGAGAGAGAGAGAGAGAGAGATTGTTGAGAGAAAAAAAGTATTAGCATCATCCGGCAAATATTTTTGTTTCAAATTATTAATTGTCATTATTTCGAATCAAATTTTATATTATTACGTCTATTTAAAATCTTTTATTGAATCATTGCCAAATCCAATAAATCATTAATCTATAGTAAATGTTCTATAACACTTTAATAATTCTATAAGACCATTGAGAAATTAAGTTTAATTATCGTCAAATGGCTTGATCAAATAGTACACTGGCGGATTTAGAGGGGGCAGCCCCCCCCCCCCCTTTTGTGTCCAAAATATACATAAGATTTAATAAAGCAATTTTTTTTGTGTGGTTGTGGGCCCCTACCCTGACCCCAAACTGGTCGCTCCCCCCTTTCAAGATTCCTGGATCCGCCACTGTAGTAATGATTTTTGAATTATTTTTGCTACTAACATTTAAAATACTTGTTGCTGAACATTATACATATCATAACAGAGAGCAGACGGTACAAATGTAGCGGTAAAAGATTCTGCATGCCTAAAGTGCATTTACAATAAGTTTTCGAGAAAGTTCAACTTCGTGTTAAAAACAATATTACTGTCTTGTCTTTCATAAGGAAAGCCAAATACCATGTTATTTCCTGCAAGAATGTGATTGAAATATTTGTACAACCCAGGAGCTTCCCCTAATCCCCCCCCCCCCCCCACAATCAAGGCTTTGCCTGGGACCTATGGGTGGCCTCACAAATTATATTGCCATTCAATTGATTCCGGAAGGGGGGGGGGGGCTGGGCTGGCAATTTTTTTCCCAGCTTTATTTCCATGTCAGTGAAGGACAATTAAATTTATTTTCAAAATCTGCCAGACACCCCCCCCCCCTTAATTTCAGAATTAAATTGTAAACGCTTTTATGTTTTGACAATATCATTGAATTTTTATTTGGATTTAAGCCCCCCCCCTTTTTACTTTCAGGTGTGTAACTACGCCTCTGTATGTAAAATACAGTGTATACAATTCAGCCTAAATATTTCAGTGTTTCTTAAATAGCAGTTGAAAAAGTACACGGTTTTAGGCTAAATATATATTTATTTGCAAACAGCTGGGGACTATAGATGTATCAATATATATTACTAAGTTATTTATATAATACGAATCAGTAGTCTAGTAGTCTACAACTGCTCAAGCTCCTTTTTTTTTTCAAGTATCAAACAGCTCTTTTTACCGCGATTTTAATATTAATATAACTCTCAAGATATCCACCGATCAGAAAAGGGCTTTCCCGGATTGTGACATTCTAACATCAACTTCCGGCCTCCCTTTTCTAAGTTTTACGGAATCGGTAGCAGTAGACTGAGTTTGAAGCGATATTTTAAGAACTAGAGAGGATTTAATGTGATTTGAGTTGAATTGCCCGAAAGTGGAGGCATAGTTAAAGTAAGTGCTTGAGGGAACGGTTGTATCCATTAATTTTAAACACATTGTAGACTAAAAATTGAGGCGAAGTAGCTGAACTGAAAAATTCAAGATGGCGACCGTGACGAACCTTGTTATTATTATAGTATGGGGGATTTTTTATTTATGAAAAGAAAGGTTTAAAACGTCAAGCGCCTGTGGCTTGAGTATACAAGAAAATGCCATTTAAATCAATTTCATAGTTGGTTTAGCAAAAGGCAGAGCAAATGTAAATATATGTAATTTTGTTTTTGACGTTCAGTAAAAAAACATTGACATTGCGAATTACGACATGGTACATTTTTTAAAACAGTGTGTAATTAATATCTTCATAAACTGATAAATTTCTATTCCTTTCAACTATTCAATCAGAAGAAACGTGTATTGCAGGTGATGAAAGGGTAAACGAAGTACCATCTTTGAGCGCATTACACGTTATATTTCTCCGCTTTCATAACATCCTGGCAAAAGGTTTGAAACTAGAATCCCATCTACATGCCAGAAGTCAATATGTTTTCCTGGAAATTAAGAAAATCATGGGCGCCATTATACAACAAGTGACTTACGGAGAATACCTTCCGATCCTGTTGGGCGGAACAATCCGGAGAAATTTGGAGTTGGAACTTCATTCATCTGGATTTTGGGACGGATATGACCAGTCTGTGAATCCAACCGTGAAGAATGTCATCGCCACAGCAGCGCTTAGATACGGACACTCGCAGGTGCGCTAGTTCTAAGTTCTTCTAAAACTCATTTTTTTGTTGTTGTTAGATTTGAGATTCAGAAATGAATAGTTTTCACTCATTTAACCAGCATGCATATGTAATGAAAGATGTTTACAAAAACATATATTTCTCCCTTCCTGTATAACCATTCTCATAGTCAACACTACATAAACTTTATAAAATGCCCATTGTGTACGACCTTGATAACATGCCCATCTTGAGTTAAGACCTTGATGACATGCCCATAACTATATATAAACTTAATGACACATGCTCATTTCTTTATGCCATGCCCATCACCAAATGCCCATAATGACGTGTCTATCACAATACGACCTTGAGGAAATTCACATCACTAAATATGTTAGACCTTGATGACATGCCATTTCCAAATGACCTTGATGACACGCCCATTACTATATGACCTTGATAAGATGTGCCTCATTATGTGATATTGATGACATGCCCATTACTATATTAACTTATTTTCATGTCTATCATTCGCTATGAAGTTAATAGCTTGCTTATATCACTAGAGATATATATAAAGAATCGTGTTAGAAAGGCTAGTGACGTCATTTATGACACAAGATTTGCTTCTAATTACTCGGCAATATTGATATCAAATGTTGTGATTTACATGCTTTTTTTTATTAATAATTGATAAAATAAATGAATGCAAGTTGTTATTTATTCATCATCATGTGGTTAAATTGATTTATACTGCTTGTTGATTTTTTTAATGACGTCCTAATGAAACTTCCCATACGGTGCACTACAAATGTGAACTCGGGGCTCTCCTTAACGTAGCTGAGAAGCGTTGCATATAAATCGCTTCGGCGCAAGTGCTTAACACAATTTTTATTTACATTTTATTAGGTCACCTGAGTTTAGTCAGGTGACCTATTGCTATCTGTTTTCGTCCGTCGTCGTGCGTCGTGTGATAACATTTGCACATTTTCAGCTTCTTCTCTGAAACCGCTCAACTAATTTCAACCAATTTTGGCATATAGCATCTAGGGTAAAGTGGAACAAATATTGTGAATTTTATGGTCCCTACCCTTCTGGGGCCTGAGGGGTGGGGTTAAAACCACAATCTTTAAAAATCTTCTTCCTGACGCTTGGACATCAAGCAGTCAAACTGTTGGCATGATTGTAATAAGTATTGAGCCCTCTACCAAAATTGGGAAATTCATGGCCACATGGTCAGGGGTTCTGGTGCTAGGGCGGGACTCTGTTGAATATATAGTGAGAATGTATTTTTCTTAAAAAATATTTTCCTCTGCTCTTGGGTATTAAGCAAACAAACAAAATGCATAGTTATGTTAAGGAAGGGTACCTCTTCCAAAACTTTGAAGGATATGGCACCTGGGTCAGGGGTTCTTTTTTTTGGGGGGGGGGGGGGGAGTTATAGATTATATAGGAAAAATGCATTAATACTTTGAAAAATGTTCTCCTCTGCCCCTGAGTATTAAGCAAACAGACTAAATGCAATAAAGTAAATGTATAAATGTTAGTAAATGTGCCTTTTCTCTGGTCCATGATATCTAGGAGGCAAACAGAGTATAAAATTTGTAATAATTGAAGCAAATGAGAGTTACTCCCCTATGCTAAATTGTGTTAAATCAAGAAATCCTTGTATAATTTAATCAACAGGTTATTTGATGGAATGATAATATATTTTTTGTTTTGTTTGTATGTTGTTTAACGTCCCTCTCGAGAGTTTTTCACTCATATGGAGACGCCACCACTTGCCGATGGAGAGCTGCAAATTTTGTCCTATACTCGGCACTTACGGCCATTGAGCAGTGAGGGGTTTTTTTCGTGCCAGCACCTACTGCGACACGGAACCTCGGTTTATACGGTCTCATCCGATTTATGTAGCAAAAGGCCAATTTTACTTTGTATGTAAAGTGTTCTGTTAACGTTGGACAATTGACGACTTATTGTTAGGTAAATTCATGGAGATCAGAGTTTAGTTGGCAAAAGACAGCAAAAAGTTGATTTATACTTTCTCAAAGTGAAAAAATGAACGAAGCTCCAGGGTGACTAGAGGACATGTTGTAGTTACTGAAAAGTGGCAAATAGCCATGTTGAAACCAAGCCAAGTGGAGAGTGCTGGTAACAAGTTTTTTTTGTATAGCCAAGAGACAAGTGTTGGTACCAAGTGTTACCAAGTGGCAAGCAGCTAAGTTGTTTGTGTAGCCTAGAGGCATCGCCTCGAATAAATATACAAGCATTAGAGATTTCTCTTTGTGTACTTAATTGTAGCACTACGCCAGTGATAAAAACTTACCTGTATATTTTGAATACCTTAAACACTAGGCAGGTGTTCATTGTACATGTTTTTGTATATTTTGCATTCATTGTCATCCCTGTAAGACTTGGGAAAACCAAGTATGATACCAAGGAGATCACTCGGGTCTCGCACGTTACAATAAGCAAGGGTATCTTTACAAGATTCTTGGACAACATAGCTTCATCTTTCAATGAAACCGTCCACGGTAGCTCAGTCGGTAGGGCGCTCGCTCCGTGATCGGGAGGTCGTAAGTTCGAATCTTGGCCGCGACTGACCTAAGTCGATAAAAAATGGGTAGCAACTGTTCCTTTGCCATGCGCTCGGCACTTTGAAGTGAAAGTTGCGGGTCCTTCGGATGAGACCTTTAAAACCGAGGACCCGTGTCACGGCAGGCGTTGGCACGACAAAGATCCCTCACTAAAGGTAAAAAATTTGAAACCCTTCACTGGTATATGGTGACGTCTCTATATGAGTGAAAAATTCTCGAATGGGACGTAAAACAAATTACAATCAATCAATCTTTCAATTAATTTAATTTTATACTTCTCTGGATCCTTTACATATACCCAACTGTTCGTAACTCAGTTTTACTGTTGAATTTATGCAATCACGTGACGGTGTGATCCGACATTCCGGATCACCACACTGTGGTTTTCTGAATCCATATCACCCCTCTCTGAAACTGATGACGTAGTACACAGGTAAATGACGTTTTTATTCTCACGCATCAAAATGTTCCTTGACAAAATGGTTTGTTTACTGTATAAAAGTTAGGTAATTGATCCAAAAAAGTTTCCTTTTATCATATTTTGCTAGTTGTAAAGGGGTATATAATAAATTTATCATTATAACAGTAACTTGATCCGAAGAGCCGTATCACGTCTCGTTGACAGGCGCGGATCATCAGATCAAACTCGACGCTTCGCGTCTCGTTTGATCTGATGATCCGCGCCTGTCAACTTGACGTGATACGGCTCTTCGGATCAAGTTACTGTTATAATAATATATATGTATTATACTCAGGTATCCTAATGTACATGTACCAAAAAAGTGTTTGGGACGAGCCAAAGTATTTGATTACGGAATATTCCGTTTCCTAATCAATACTTAGGGCTCACAGCAGGTGTGACCGTTGTACAGGGGATGCTTAATTACTCCTCCTAGGCACCTGATCCCATCTCTGGAATTTTGGGAGTCCACCATTTTATGCTCTGTTCACAGATTTATATTGTTTGAAGATTTTTTTTTTTTTTTTTTTTTTTTTTTTTTTTTTGAGATCGATCACTATTCGATATCTTCATCTTTTTTTTCTTGAAGTAAATGAAATGTCGAACACTATATGATCTTTATGACAGGTGCATTAATCCAGATCACTTTATAATTGAAATAATGATCAAAAAGAATAAGAATTAAAAGATTTTAACCAACCAGTACAGAATAATTGTTTAGGCATATTGTAAATTATGGGAACTCTTTTAAGCAATTCTATTTTGCATTTGATAGAAAAGTTAGATCATATCAAGGATGACGTTTACTCAGGGCATTAGTTGACAGAAACGGGTTGCTATATTTCAAATCAAAAATTGTTCAAAAATGGACAAAATAACAATGTTAAAATTCAATATCAATATCAAAATTAAATGTTTAACGGTTTGAAGAAATATGCAAGAACAAACGTAAATAAATGGTGATGCAGAAGAAATTCGGACTAAATTTTGATTGTGTTCATTTTTAAATAATTTTTTTCTTAATGATATTATTCTAAAAGTTAGGATTCTATGTGTTTTGATTTTGCAAATATAATGTGTGTTAAAGTTTATATATTATTTATAATAACTGAATGGCATGCAATAAAGAATACTTATCATTATTATTATCAAAAACCAGTACAGAAGGTATGTCTGAAGAATTTCATTTTTTCATCATTGGCCTCATATAGTTTTAATACCAGCAGAATGATCAGTACAGTACAAATAAACAGACGCTAAAAATAATTAAGACTTCCAATCATTCAGATTTTTGTTATATTAGATTAAAAATGGGTAAAATTCGACCGAGGAAATTCAGACTGCAATAATTAACAAGTTTATCGTTCAAACTCTAATTGTTTATTATATCTAACAACACTATTCAATTTTTATTATATTTCATTACCTGAAGAGTTTTGTTACTTGTTATATTTTGTGAAAGACAATATTGTCATATACATGTGGAGTAAAAAGTGAGATATTTTCAGAGAAATACTTAGGATCTACTAAGGTAAAAAGTAGGCCATTGACGTTGTTATTTACGAATGAATAATTAGGTCGTGAATGTAGAAAAGGTTGTTTTTCATTCATATCAGTTCATATTTTGGTCCTCTGAGTAAATGTCATCCTAAAGTAAAATTTTAGCGATTTAGAAGAGACGGAGGGAGCGAAGCAATCAAGCCCCTTCATATTCACTAAAAATCTACTTATACGATCTAATTTACGTAGAGCATAAGTCGCTTTTTGATTGGCCGATCCAAAGTTCTAATCAATTGTTTTCGCTTTTTCGTTTGTGAAGCTGTCAATTAAAAACTCACGTAACTGTGGACATGCAAAATTTTATCGATTAGGTGAAGTACTTTATAGAATAGTTAGCGATTACTTGTTGGATGGGTTATATTCTAAATGGTGATAACGACTGTCGCATTGCTGAAAAAATGCATAACCAGCAGACGAATAGTTCAAACCATTTAATATAATTGCAAGGAAAATTGCAGGTACCCCCAGAGCTTGGTTACATGACACGGATGTTTGCTACCTCTAGGGTCTTTAAAACAGAGGATGTTCTCATGGATCCACACGTGGTTGTCACTCAAAACGGAAGAAACATTCCCGATTTAACTCGATTTCTCTTAGCCACGCCCTCCAGAAAAGTTGACAGGTGAGATGAATTGAACCTTATATTTTACTTTGTGGTCGTAAAGCCCCAGTCATGTTGTCACGATTTAAGGTCACTGTAAGGTACAGTTGGGGATCCGTGCATATTAATTCTTAGACATCCGCAGTCAGTCCGCTATTAGTAAGGTGGTGAGCCCTGATCACTCGGATTAATTCTGAATGATCCGTAAATCGCTTCCACTGCTTTGAAATGTTAAAAAAGTCATGAAATAACGGGATGCTACTTTGTTTCTGGCGTATCGTAATCGCCCCGTGCTGTAATCCTCACATTAGCGTGTTTCAGGTTTGTGACAGAAAGCAACTCGGTTTTACTGTACGAGCGAGTTGAGATATCCAAAGATTTTTCGGGGGATTCAATAAACGTTTTCGTCACAATCTGGCAGATTTAGTTAGTCATAATAGTTGTTCTTGTATCTTGTACTCTACCATGAGCACACGTATAAACTAATAACTCAACAAATTAGTTGAACAGACAGCAAGCACAGAAAAACAATGTTGTAGCAGATGTTTTTTCTTATTGTTTAAGAATGGATTCCTCCTGGGTGTAAACTGGCTATAACCTCGCTGTACCTCGCATTAGGAGATAACTATTAGTCCTTCATGTATACCCTCAGAGTTTCTCATGACACAATCTCTCTGTTTATCTGTGTGGTTTAAAAAGTCATCATCTTTATTTATCTGTGTGGTTTAAAAAGTCATCATCTCTCATCTCTCTGTTTATCTGTGAGGTTTGTAAAGTCATCATCTCTCTGTTTATCTGTGAGGTTTGTAAAGTCATCACCTCTCTGTTTATCGGTGTGTAAAGTCATCATCTGTTTATCTGTGTGTAAAGTCATCTTCTCTCTGTTTATCTATATGGTTTATGAAGTCGTTATCTCTCTGTTTATCTATATGGTTTATGAATTCGTCATCTCTCTGTTTATCTGTGTGATTTATGAAGTCATCATCTCTCTGTTTATGCATGGTTTGTAAAGTCATCATCTCTTTGTTTATCTGCGTGTAAAGTCATCATTTGTCTGTTTATCTGCGTGTAAAATCATCATCTCTGTGTTTATCTACGTGTAATGTCATCACCTCTCTGTGTTTATCTGCGTGTAAAGTCATCATCTCTGTGTTTATCTGCGTGTAGAGTCATCATCTCTGTGTTCATCGTGTAAAGTCATCATCTCTCTGTGTTTTTTTGCGTGTAAAGTCATCATCTCTGTGTTTATCTGCATGTAAAGTGATCATCTCTTTGTTTATCTGTGAGGTTTGTAAAGACATTATCTCTCTATTTATCTGTGTGAATTATGAAGTCGTCATCTCTCTGTTTAAATGCATGGTTTGTAAAGTCATCATCTCTCTGTTTAACTGCGTGTAAAATCATCATCTCTGTGAGGTTTGTGAAGTCATCACCTCTCTGTTTATCTGTGAGGTTTGTAAAGTCATCATCTCTCTGTTTATCTGTGTGTAAAGTCATCATCTCTGTGTTAATCTGCGTGTTAAGTCATCATCTCTGTGTTTATCTGCGTGTAAAGTCATCATCTCTGTGTTTATCTGCGTGTTAAGTCATCATCTCTATGCTTATCTGCATGTAAAGTTATCATCTCTCTGTTTATCTGCATGTTAAGCCACCATCTCTCTGTTTATCTGCGTGTAAAGTCATCATCTCTGTGTTTATCTGTGAGGTTTGTAAAGTCATCACCTCTCTGTTTATCTGTGAGGTTTGTAAAGTCATCATCTCTCTGTTTATCTGCGTGTAAAGTCATCATCTCTGTGTTTATCTGTGTGATTCATGAAGTCGTCATCTCTCTGTTTATCTGCGTGGTTTGTAAAGTCATTATCTCTCTGTTTAACTGCGTGGTTTGTAAAGTCATCATCTCTCTGTTTAACTGCGTGTAAAGTCATCATCTCCTTGTTTTTTCTGCGTGTAAAGTCATCATCTCTGTGTTTATCTGTGAGGTTTGTAAAGTCATCACCTCTCTGTTTATCTGTGAGGTTTGTAAAGTGATCACCTCTCTGTTTATCTGTGAGGATTGTAAAGTCATCATCTCTGTGTTTATCTGCGTGTAATTCATTATCTCTCTTTTTATCTGTGTTTAAAGTCATAATCTCTGTGTTTATCTGCGTGTAAAGTCATAATCTTTGTGTTTATCTGCGTGTAAAGTCATCATCTCTCTGTTTATCTGCGTGTAAAGTCATCATCTCTGTGTTTATCTGTGAGGTTTGTAAAGTCATCACCTCACTGTTTATCTGTGAAGTTTGTAAAGTCATCACCTCTCTGTTTATCTGTGAGGATTGTAAAGTCATCTCTGTGTTTATCTGCGTGTAAAGTCATTATCTCTCTTTTTATCTGTGTGTAAAGTCATTATCTCTGTGTTTATCTGCGTGTAAAGTCATAATCTTTGTGTTTATCTGCGTGTAAAGTCATCATCTCTCTGTTAATCTGCGTGTAAAGTCATCATCTCTGTGTTTATCTGTGAGGTTTGTAAAGTCATCACCTCACTGTTTATCTGTGAGGTTTGTAAAGTCATCATCTCTCTGTTTATCTGCGTGTAAAGTCATCATCTCTCTGTTTAAATGCGTGTAAAGTCATCATCTCTATTTATCTGTGAGGTTTGTAAAGTCATCACCTCTCTGTTTATCTGTGAGGTTTGTAAAGTCATCATCTCTCTGTTTATCTGTGTGTAAAGTCATCATCTCTCTGTTTAAATGCGTGTAAAGTCATCATCTCTATTTATCTGTGAGGTTTGGAAAGTCATCATCTCTCTGTTTATCTGCGTGTAAAGTCATCCTCTCTGTGTTTATCTGCGTGTAAAGTCATCATCTCTCTGTTTATCTGCGTGTAAAGTCATCATCTCTGTGTTTATCTGCGTGTTAAGTCATCACCTCTCTGTTTATATGTGAGATTTGTAAAGTCATCATCTCTGTGTTTATCTGTGTGGTTTGTAAAGTCATCATCTCTGTGTTTATCTGTGAGGATTGTAAAGTCATCTCTGTGTTTATCTGCGTGTAAAGTCATCATCTCTCTGTTTATCTGTGTGTAAAGTCATCATCTCTGTGTTTATCTGTGAGGTTTGTAAAGTCATCATCTCTGTGTTTATATGTGAGGTTTGTAAAGTCATCACCTCTCTGTTTATCTGCGTGTAAAGTCCTCATCTTTCTGTTTTCCTGCGTGGTTTGTGAAGTCATCATCTCTGTGTTTATCTGCTTGTAAAGTCATCATCTCTCTGTTTGTCTGTGTGTAAAGTCATCATCTCTCTTTTATCTGCGAGGTTTGCAATGTCGTCATCTCTCTGTTTATCTGTGAGGTTTGTAAAGTCATCACCTCTCTGTTTAGCTTTAAGGTTTAGTCATCATCTCTCTGTTTATCTGGGTGTAAAGTCATCATCTCTCTGTTTATCTGTGAGGTTTGTAAAGTCATCATCTCTCTGTTTATCTGTGTGTAAAGTCATCATCTCTCTGTCTGTTTATCTGTGTGTAAACTCATCATCTCTCTGTTTATCTGTGTGGTTTAAAAAGTCATCATTTTTCTGTTTATCTGTGTGGTTTGTACAGTCATCTCTCTGTTTATTTGTGTGGTTTGTAAAATCAGGATCTCTCTGTTTATCTGTGTGCTTGTGAAGTCGTCATCGAAGAATAAGTCGAAGGAGTCATTGACTATCTAGCAACTCGAAACTTTGAATCAAAAACTATCGTAGATGGATCTGGATCGAGATGGACCTTGTATTGATGCGCTTAGATTGTTGTCAAATTTAGCAATTATGTGTCTTCAGAGTGATGATTCTCTCTACTTAAACTATTGACGTTTCTGTTTTGTTAATTTGCTAGTATTCCGGATGCGAATTATAAGGTTGCCTGAGTGGACATCGGAACCAGTGGTTCAACGGGTGACACATATCCATGATTATAACAAGTCTGAATTGAGAGAGATCGAAGGAAAAACGGTAGTAAAAGATCCCCAGCACGAATCCCCTCCCAGCTGATAACAAGCGCCTAGTCATAAGTTGCAGACGGCCCTGTGCATTATAGACCTGGCCCATGAAACGATTTTCAAGACAGATGAAGAGAGAATTTACAAGTTCCACTTACCAAGGGCTCATGTTTGGTATTCAGAAGCAATAGGTTCCTGTGTCGCCTGACTAAAATACAACAACTTATTGCTTCTGTTTTCCTGACCTGTATCTGCCTGCTCAGTCTGATCGATGAGACTTTGGTATCCTAGACCACAGAATGCTGTTCTTGATCGGGAAGATCACAAAATGATTTCTTGATCCTTGAGAGATAACGAAATAAAGCCAAATAATATTAGTGGTGGTAACTGGCTTCTGTTGGCCGATCAAGATCAAACAGAATAACTTAAGGCTTAATATAACTCGGACTCAGTGCAGAGCAGTGCCTTGGCAATGTACATTTTACATGGATTGAATAAATAACAAAAGAACTTATTAGTACATGACTATATGTAATTGATTGATTGATTGTTTGTTGTTTACCGTCCCTCTCGAGAATTTTTCACTCATATGGAGACGCCATCACTTGCCGGTGGAGAGCTGCAAATTTTGTCCTATACTCGGCACTTACGGCCATTGAGCAGTGAGGAGTCTTTTTCGTGCCAGCACCTACTGCGACACGGGACCTCGGTTTATACGGTCTCATCCGAAGGACCGGTCTCCACGTACCACCATGTCTATATGTATGTATAAATATTAACTAATTTTCCCTAAGATTTGAACGTATCTACATGTTTTTGCTCAAATAGAATAGAAATTATCTGAAAGAGAAATGATTCCACTTTAAGAGGGATTTAAAAAAAAAAAAAAAACGGAAACGGTCTTCTTGGCAATGTATGGAAGAATAACATCTTATCATCGATTCCTCTTTGTACTCGACCAGCATTTTTCAAATGTGTTATGTTGACGTACATACAACATAACATCCTTTTTTGCTTAAAGAGACACGGAAAAACGGGAAAATTGACAAAAGTAGAATTTTTGCAAGACACGTGCAAATTTTATTCAATTCTTGAAAGTATTAGGTTTCACAAAATTACAGGTTTCAGAACGTAAAAAATCTACATTTATGGAGAAAAATTCAAGAAAAAATAATTTTAGCTTGCCCCAACACGAAAATATTGCTTCACTTCTTCCTCTTTAAGGACGCATGCGCAGAAAAGTTGAAGAAGTTACCATAGTGTCAATTCCATAGATATAAATGTCGGATGACCGAGGATTTTGATATAATCTTCAATAAAGATGATCAGAACTTATTCCTAACTCTTGATTGCTCCAATTCAATGTTGTTTACAAGTTTCACGCTAAAAATAAAAAGACACATGACCTTGACATTGTTGACATTGACGATAACAACCACGCCATAGATACAACTTTTCTTTTTCCGGCACTTATATTTTGCAGTCTTTTCTTGCTTTTACCGTGCAGTTGAGATCTCAAAACTTTGCTTTATTCATATTTCTCATAAATTTTTAGCTTTATGATACAATTATCTTAAAAGAAACACATGATATTGACTCACTATGCAACTTTAAGCCTAACGACGCCTTAGAAAAATCTTCGGAATCCGTGTTATGTTCGGATACACACCGTGAGAAATTGTAGCATAGCCTTTATTGGTCGTAGCCCTAGCTGTCGTCCCTTGTGAGTCCGTCGTATTCTATGGGATCACCATGAGATACCGTGCTTGTCCGTTACAGTATCTGTAGCGTGACAATTATATTCCTCAACAGAACCGTCGAAAAACCTACCGGTATTAAAAGAGCCATTTCGATTGCGTGTTCCGTTGCAATCTTATCCCTACTACTGTGACAGTGTGAACTATGCTTAAGAGTTTATTTTTTTTAATTGAATTCAGTCATTTCATTTGAAAAAGAAAAAAAAGTACGTTTAGATGTGTCAGATTATAATTCTTCTTTAAGATCTTTTCATACTGAAATAGTACCTCACTTTCAAAGTTGGGGGGGGGGGTTTCTCAATGCACATTCACTTAATAATAAGATTATTATACTTTACTATAGTTTCTATCAATCATATAAAAATCTTAATTCATAGCATTGTACATGTATTGTTTGTTACACCATTCACTATTTCAGACAAATCGAAAATGCCGTAAGAAATGAATTATTCCGTGACATGAATGGAATTACCTTTGATTTGATGTCCTTTAACATCCAGAGGGGACGAGACCATGGTCTTCCATCTTACAATGAATGGAGGGAATGGTGTGGTCTTCCAGTAGCAATGTCTTTCCCAGATTTACATGATCAGAATTCTGATACCAGGACGCGACTGCAGCAAGCTTATGAGTAAAATCAATGTTATTATATATATATATATATATATATATATATATATATATATATATATATATATATATATATATATATATATATATATATATAAAACACAGAGAAATTCACTTTTATTAGGATACCCACTTCCGCCCCAATCCGGGGTTTCTTCTCCAAGTGACAAATTTCCACTACATGATGTCTTTAAATATGTTCTTCTGGATAATGCATCAGCTATAGCATAAACTTTCCAGGTGTATAGAATACATGTTGTGTATAGTTCTGCATCTGATCATAAGTCTTGGAATCCTGATAGGACGTTGTAGATGGCTTTCAAAGGTTTGTGATCAGTTTCTACTTTTACTGCCATATATAAACTGTCAGTCTCCATAAACTGTTCATAAGACTAAGGTCATGAAGGTCAACACTAAATCAGAAGAACCCATCACTCTAAATCATATAAAAATAGAAGAGGTGAGGTCAAAACCTTCATTTCTTCAAAGCATTCTTCTTTTTGTTTCCGTTGAAACACGTTCTTCTCTTCCAGTAGGCGTCGGAAATTCTTTGTCTTTGTGGGAAGGTCCGGTATGTATTTTCCTTTATAGTTAACCATTCCTAAAAATCTTCGAACTACTTGCTTATTTGTAGGAGTGGAAATTGTTCAATTGCCTAGATTTTTCAGAATTTGTTTTAAACCCTTTATCTAAGATTGCATCTCCCAGAAATATCAATTCTCACACTCCATAAAAATTTGGATTTATTGATTTTCAAATTAGCTCTTCTTACAGTCTCTAGAACCGATTTAAATCTCTTTAAACATTGCGCTTTTCGAGTGTTGTTCCCCATACCAATATGACATCCATGAGAGATCGATGCTGTTCCTGCGAGATTCTCCACAACCGTTTGTATTGATTTATGATATATTTTAGGAGCTGAAAATAAGTTTAATGGTACAAATGAACTTATATCTTCAAAATGATGTATTGAAACAGGTATGAATAGGAAATGGTTTGTCCAGATTCATTTGCCAGAATCCTGATGAGGCATCTAGCTTGCTAAAGTATGTGGTATCTTTGAATGTAATCAATATTCCTCCCTTATTGGTAATTTTAAGTGTTCTCGTTTAATGGCTTTCTTGAGATCTCTCAGATCTAAACATACTTGGAGTGATCCATTTTTCTTTATGAGTAGAACATTTGAGCTACCCAAGGTTGTTGGTTCCTCTCCTAAATGCATACGACTTTGAGCCTTTTCCATTCTATTAAGCTCCTGTTTCGGTTTGTCTTGTTATGCAAATGGTACCTTTCTGCATGGGTGTAACGCAGATGGAACTGCTTCATTAAGCTTATTTTGTGTTCACCAGGCAGTCATCCTAGTCTTTAGAAAACATATGTGTAGTTTTCCAATAGGTTTGGGACTGTTGATACTTCGTTTTGTTATGGTTATTCATTTTTGTTATCCATGTAATCTCTCTTAACAATTCCTTCTTTGGTGCATGCACTGACTCCAATAATTGGGATGAGTGATTCCGATACTATTTCGAAGTGCAACTTGAAGGTGTGTTGTGTTCTATTCACTTTCAACACAAATGTTCCTTTGATCAAGATTAAATTCCCACTGTAAGAAGCATCATCGGAAACCCACCGTCGGTCTCGCTTCTCTTACCTCGAGATAAGAGAAGCGAGACCAACCGTGGGTTTCCAACGATGTTTAAGACGTTAGTTTGATTTTTGATAAGTGAATCTTTGGTTTTGATTTCAACTTGTTTAGCAATCGACGTTGACTTGACTTCATATGTCTAATTTGTATTAATCTGTCCCAGTTGTCTGAACCATGCTTCTACTACGGGATTCTCTACTGTATACATAAAAAATACGCCTGCTTCACTTTTTACGCTGTCGTTGAACTCATTTAACTCATGAACTTTCTTTTTATTGGTGAAACACATTTTGGCATAGTGATTTTGTTTCCACATTCCATGCACACCTGTCCCATTTGCTGGACAATCCTTTCCATGCTTTGCCCCACATCTTCTATATTGTTCCTGATTTTTCTTTTGGTATCCTTTGCATTCATGTTTTTGCTTTAAGGGTTTGAGGTTGTGTTTACTTTTAATCACACGTACTTCTTTATTCTCTGGTTTTAGTTCTTTCATTCTTTCCTTTGTAGCTTCAGTAGTCCTGCACATGCGTATAGCCACATCTAGAGTGAGATTCTGAGCAAAAATTCTCGTAGTGAATCATCTGGAATACCACAAATGATGCAGTCTCTTATAGAAATCACAAAAATCAACATCACCAAATTCACAATTTTTCCTTCATTTGAAGCTCAATATCGTATTGCAATTGCATGGTCAATGGTTTCTGGTTTTGCGTTAATGTGAAAAACTTGTGCACCTCATAGACTGTGTTTTTCTTTGGTAGGCAATAGGCTATACACTTTTCATTTAAAAAATCTATTTTGTCTTATCCTCATCGTTTGCTAACTGAAAGTTGTTAAATACTTCTAGTGCATCTTTGCCATTAAATGTGGGGACACACAGTGTCACGCTTTCTGTTAGGGGATTTCTTGGTTGATCTTTGTCAGCTTCTAATCCAGTCGCTTGAATATAAATTTCAAAACTTTGTTTGAATTTGATCAAGTCGTCACCACATTTCATACCAGTGACAGTCCTTTTGGTAGATTATCCATATTATTTTTTTGTGACGATTATTCAATTTCTGACTCCACTTTTTGGTATTTCTGTGAGGAATAACACCCTGTGATTTTCTATTCTTCTATTTAACAATTATTATTTTTAAAGCTAACTTTAACAGAAAAGAGTTCTGATAACTTTTTAGATAAGTCGTACTTAATGTAACATCAATAACGGAGGTGAATTTATCAGCCGGTGGAAGAGAGTGGAAATCTACTTTTACCTTGACCTCTGACCATCATATGAAAAGGTGGTTTCTCTATTAAGTTACCCAATCGGGAAACTAAAGGGTCGAAGGTACTCATTAGAGTGCCTTCAAAACAGGTTGGAACTAATAGATACTTTGACCTTGACCTTTGATAATGAAATGTTTTCATCAACTAGCACCACTGTAGCACGTTTTAGATAAATGGTCTAATAGTATTCTGCAGATGCAAATTTGGTCCACGACACCATTAAAGTAGCACTTACATGTACGTGTATATGTACACGCAATATTTTGCAAGCAGATAATATAACCATGTAGTAAACAATTGTTTACTATATCAATAGTGACAATTTCAAGGGTAAAAGCAAAAAAGCCATACTGCGTAAAACATTCATTAATTCGGATAGTCATCATTCAGTTGTTACAAGCATTGGAAGAGAGGTGGATTTTTCTTAAAAAGTTACTAAATAGGTGGAGAAAATTTGAGCTCAGTGTATGATTACTTGGTGCCATTTTGAAGGTGTCCCTCAGACAGTCCCTCAGACTTTGACTATTGTTTCTTTCTGTCTATTTTTGAATTGTCCTCTATGATGCTTACGAGGTTTATTAAAAGAATTTTTTGATTTCCTATAGTCATGTTGACGATATCGATGTGTTCGTGGGGGGAATGACTGAAACTCCTCGCGATGGCGCACTGGTTGGGCCTCTTTTTGAATGTCTGCTGGGAAGACAGTTTAAGGATCTAAAGTTTGGAGACAGATATTGGTATGAAAGAAGTGGAATAGAGGGATTCTCTCTAGGTACAGAGTAGCTTTTAGTAAAGAGTTAATATCAAGAAAACTTAGTCTTATAGATTTATTGTTAGCTAGATTTATATTGTTAAAATATATCGGTGAGATCTACATTTTATTTCTAAGTTCATACTAATTCATTGCATCACATGCACTTGTGGACAGGACTATCCCCCCCCCCCCCTCGATATTCAATCCCGGGGCTTGTTGAACATTTTTTCCACAAATTATATTTATTACACTAATTCATTATGTGAACCATAAAAAAAAATCGGGAAAACCCATAAAAAATCCTTCCACACAAAAATACCCCACTATACATTATGATTGATTGATTGTTGTTTAACGTCCCTCTCGAGAATTTTTTCACTCATATGGAGACGCCACCACTTACCGGTGGAGGGCTACAAATTATTACTTATACTCGGCACTCAGGGTCATTGAGCAGAGAGGAATGTTTTTCGTGCATGCCAGCACCTACTGCGACACGGGACCTCGGTTTATAAGGTCTCATCGGAAGGACCGATCTCCACGTCCCGCAGTAGGATTCGAACCCGCGACGTAAGGATCAACTCCTTATTCAGAGACTCTAGGGCAGAGGCTCTAACCACCGCGCCACGCGGGCGACCACCATACATTATAAGACAGAAAGGTATATGACACTCCGGTTTGTTTACGTTGTGCCCCCACTGGTTTTTCTGGGTTTTGTGGAACGATTATTTTGGGGGGTTCCCGATTTTTTCCTATGGTACACATGATGAATAAGTGCAATAAATATAATTTGTGAAAAAAAATATCCAAGCCCCGTAGATGAATATCGGGGGGGGGGGGGGTCCTGTCCACAAGTACAGCTGTGCATTGCATATGTAATAATTATTGAAATTTGTAAATTAATTGTATTATAAATTCTATAAAAAGTTTGCCCATATTATACAGGCACTTGTTTCGTACACGGGGCGCCCCATACTTATTTTTACCGGTGATAAAAATAAGTAGGGGGTGCCCCATATACGAAACAAGTGCCTATGCCATATTACCTGCAATCTAATTAAAATCGGATCCTTGTTCCTCTCACATAGATTTCTACTGCATTCTCTGTGAGCTGGTCAATTAAGGAATCCAATTTTTATCACATTGAAATTATCTGATTCAAGCTCTAGTCACTCCAGATAGACCCACCATTAACTATGGTCCAGTGTGGTGGCTAATTACCTAAAAGTGCCATAAGCATCATCTTCGTTAAGATTACTGATCCAAAAGTTTATAATCAATTATATTCAATAATTGACAGATTGGTTTAATTTGTTGCAAAATTTAAGACCTACTTATTAGTTTTGCTTCTGTTGTGTCGTCTGTATGTCTGTTTATTACTTCCTCTATCTGATGAACGTAGAGAGGCTGAAGGCCTATATATGGCAATGTTTATTTCCTTTTCCTAAAGGTGTTTAATCCATGTCCATAAAAGCAGCAAGCTTTACCAGAAGTTTATTAAAATTATGTCAAGATTAAAGAAGTTTAATTTTTTTTTTGGTTGAGTTTATTCAGGGCATGGCCAAAATATTAAACATGCAGAAATGCAGCCCTTTTAAAATATATATACAAGTAAGCTTCAAGCCTTGTCCTCGGAACTTAGATATGGACTTTCACCTTTTTCTTAAATATTCAGTATTATTGAGTTTTTAACTCTAAGAAAGAGTTATGATATATAGATCTACAGAGTAAGCATGTATTTGTCACATGTTTTGTATATGCAAAAATTATTATTTTTAATTGTTGATCTCAATTTTAAGTAAAAAAAAAATTATATAAACTTACTTATTAGTAAAAGGTAAGGCTTTCATTAGTGATGATATCTATTCTTTGCTAGTATATCATTCCGAAACATCAGGGAGCATTCTGACCTTGACATTAGACCTTTTGAAATAAGAAAGAAATATCTATACTTTAGCATTTATGTTCATTGCTACAGGTAGCTAAAACTTAAGATATAAATGCGGTCCTATTTTTTGTGTACCTCATATTGGCATCTTGTATCATAGAAGTTGTGCCTTACTCAAACACAACCCGAGTTTTCTAAAAGGAACAGAATAGCTTACTTTTCATTATTATAGGCCAACTAACTGAGATCAGAAAACTAAGTTTGTCTAAGATCATCTGTGATGCACTTGGATTGGATAAGATACAGAGAAATGCCTTTTTCTTACCGGGATCAAGGTAAATTTATTTTATGTATATTCAGTTAGAATAGAAATGTGAATTTTATCCCCCCCAAAAAACAAACAAACAAACAAACAAACAAAAAACATTTCAATGAATAAAATCAAGTTGAATTTGCCAAAATAAAAGTCGATTGCAACTTGAAAGTGTAAAGAAATAGGGTAAATTATGAAAATTTAAGATAGGTAGAAGTTTAACTCGTGAACCAACAAAAACAACCTTTGATCAGTGAAGGAACTGCAGCAAAGCCAAATCCACTTTCTTTTTCTAGATACATCGGCGATCGAACGCTAACATATATGTAGTGTTTCTCTTTTTTTTTAATTTAGAAAATGAGATTTCATTTCGTCGAAATTTTAAATCACAGTCGATGCATCCTTCCATTGTGAATTTTCACTAAGTACGAATGGTTACACTGTATGTGTTTTATGCATGCATTTTCTTCTTTACAGTAATCCACTGGTTAAATGTTCTTCCCTACCCTCCCTGGACTTTACCGAGTGGGGGAGACACATCGTTGTTTATAATTAGTGAGCACGTCCACAATTTTCATTGCGACGTTGACTGGAGCAACTTTTGACATAAGGATTAAAGGATGTGAAATATATGACTTCTTTAAACACTTTAAAATTTGTGTAAAATTCTCTGATTAAAAAAAAATACATGTACAGTGTGAAATGAGATTCTCCACTATCTATTGAATTTGTTATCCAATATTGTGCATGAAATTTAGATTTTGCTAAACATTTTATTAGTAATAAAAATCATTATAGTGTCTGAATCCAATATTTTCTCGATTCGCACTTTACCAGCAGTTGGGGTTATATTTACGTAATATCGACTTACAAATCGGAAGTTATTTTACTGAAAGACTTATACATGCGGACGTTATTTCACTGAATTACTAATAAACACGGAAGTCAGTCATCACCCGGATATTCTTGACGAACTTCTTTTAATCGAGATCGCATTGGCGACAAGTTATATTGTTACGAAACTGATTATATTTTTTAGGTTTGTTTCTTGAGTGAATTCATGATAAAAATCGCAAACCACATCCAAAATGTACGATCCTCTCCCATTTTGGCTGTGGTTGAATGAGAAGAGAATATTTCGTAGTTCATTAAAATATTGACCAATATGGAGTAAAGCAGAGTCGGATAATGAACTTTGAGGCGACCTTTCAATACCCAATCGCAGTATACGAAACATTTCTTGTATACTGTTGATGTCATTTGCTGATTTCAATTTGCGATGAAAACAAATTTTGTCATTGGCTGAACATGGAGTCACAATATAGAGGCGTAAATATTCAAGATTACGACACTTTTTGTGATCAAGCAGCCACGGGTAGGAGAGAGCTATATGCGGACTATATGCGAAGCCCTATAGGGGAATATGATTTTTCTTGGCTGAATAAATCTTCATATTTCCCTAACGATCATGCAATGAATGTATAATATTTACTAAGTAAAAATCGAAAAGTGGGAGGGCTGGAGTTGCAGCCCCCGAAACCCCCATTTTATCCTCCACTGCAGATCATGTAAAGATACGTATTAATTATGATCATATCGAGTAATGATTTGTTTGTAAGATAACCAAAATAAGATTTCTTTTTCTCTTTCTACTAATCTCTATAGTTTTGACTTTTTTTTTTTTTTTTTTTTAAATTTCACTCATTTTTTCACTCATTTTAAACAGATGTCGCAAATAATGAGAAAAAAAAATCAGTGCAGTACATGTTAAGTAATTTAAGCTCCTGTCACTCCAGGGCTACGTTCCCACAGAAATTGGCATGGCGTACGTTGTTAAGTGTCTGGGATCGCCCTGGAATACCAGAAAAATTCAATGAAATTTTCAAAAGATGAAGATGTCATGGCGTCCTAACAGCGGACCAATGCGTTTTGTTCTCTCCCGCGGCTACATATCTCACTTACGATTTACTGCGCTCCTGCTAAGTTCTCATGACGTGCCAGGAGTTATCACTTCACGTTAACGGCTTATATAGTGCGCGCTGACAAGACTTTCTTTCGAAGCAATGACATCTCAAAGAAGCATGAGAGGTCTCTGTGCAAGCGCTGTCGACTATGCCACTGCGTCCTCACTGCAATCATGTGCTTCACTTGAGTGCGCAAACGGAGCTCTTGTTGGAGACTTTACCGCGCTGCATATAATGGTGATCTTACAACGTTTCTACTGCTTGCACGTGTATATATCAGAACGCAGAGCCACAGCGCGTACTGTGTTCATGCTTAAAATGCGCGCCGTTGTACGGGGTTTTAAGGTTTTGCCAAAGGTCAAGATGTCCAAACATTTATTTTTACAAAAGCTCCAAAATTATAAGGTTAAAACTTTTACAGTTTATTAATATATCATTGATTAACAGATAGAAAGTATCACTTGAAAACAAATATTTAAAAAAAATATTTTTTGAGAAAAAAAAATTTGTATATTTTAAAAAAAAATGCACCTGTTTAATTCTGTACTTTTTAGTGAAAACCATCATTGCAGAAATAATATATGTTTATCAATGAAGGGCAAATTGGAAGTGAATGGTCTCTGAAAGGCTGTTATTGAAAGCATGACATGTATAAAGACAAGACCCCTATAAAATCCGCCATTTGCAATGTACTTTCGGTTTCAAATGTTAACATTTGGATAAAATAAACAGGGAAAACAACTTTCCAGAGGCTATCGCAGTGACATAGTCCAACTTGCCCTTCATTGATAAACGTATATTGTTTCTGCAATGATGGCTTTCACTAAAGGTACGGAATTAATTAGGTATATTTTTAAAAAATATATGCATTTTTTAAAGAATTTTTCTCGATAATTTTTTTAAGTACATGTATATATATTTGTTATTAAGTGATACTTTCTATCTGTGAATCAATGATATATTTATAAACTGTAAAAGTTTTTACTTTATAAACCACATAGTTTTGGGGCTATTGTAAAAATAAATTTCTGGACATGTTGACCTTTGGCAAAACCTTAAGCGACTCAGCTGCGTAACTTGGAGATCACACTGAGTTCTTGCGGCGCTGTGGGCGTTCGGCTTTTTTCATGGACGCCGCGGGATCGCCGTGAAGACGCAGCCCCAGTTTGAAAAAGTATATTCTATACGTTCCCCGCAAGTCGTCTTTTTTAGCCGTCCGCTATCTGTAGTACTTTATCTATAAGTGAGTATTTTATCAGCTTCAAAAAGTAACGATTATCAATAAGAAATTGTTGAATTCAATTAGAAGATTCGGCTGAGTGAAAAGAATCATCAACAATGTAACTCATGAGTACACACTCCTAGGCAGCTCAGCAAGATATTTCACTTGGACTTCTTTCTTATCTGTCCTCATAAAATCCACAATGATCAACCTCGTGTTGTATTAAACAGCACATTGTCCCCATCTAACAGACGTTTCCTACCTTCACCGCGAAGAGTTCCGTTAAGTAACCGCGATATCAAGTATTATGATCACTAAAACGTTTCATAGAATAGATTAAAAAACATCACTTCGACTTACAAATCGGAAGATATTTCACTGAATGACTATTAAGGTGGAAATCAAACAGTCACCACCTGAATATTGAAGACATTTTTTTAATCGAAAGTGACTTACTGCAATGGCGACAAGTTATATTGTTGCGAAACTGATATTTTTAAGGTTTGTTTCTGGATTTAACATTGATGTAGAGCAAGCACTGATTTATACGGGAACCCCCGGTTCGTATTATGGAGCGACTACGGAATTAGTTTCCAATGCTCAGGGAAAATGGTAAGATATTTTATTAACAAAAGGACACGGATCTCTTATTATATAGAAACATTATTTGGTATGATGGGAAAATTATAATCATGTGTATATATTTACAAAGAAAATGTACAAAGAATTTGGCGCGGGATCTGGAGGAATCATGTGTACGGAACATTTATAGTCTAAATGTCCGTATTTGGTCGGCTGACGACAGCTGGACAGACTTTACAAAGTTACACACATAGGAAAATGTTTAGTTTAAAATACTTTGTCAAATTGTAATATTTAAGTGTGTATTTAGGTAAATTTTGATAAATACTATAAATATTGTAACACTTCACATAAATATTAAACAACTTTAAGATAATAGGGTTGAGTTAAATGCAATTGCAAGTACAGTATATATTAAGGTGGAACAATCCTTTGTTGGATCACTTTCCAAGAAAATAATTCCAAGGTGCTCTACATGTACCAACTGAGCTATCTGGCCACCGGTGATCGAACCCGTCTGACCGCCACATTTGTAGAAAGCTGTCAGAAGGATGGCCGAATTGGGTGTGATCACACCCCTTTTAGAAATAGAAATCTTGAATATATCATTCCAAAGAAAAATAAATTTATCATTCATCTGTTTAAAGTAATGCTGCAAAATTTTTGTTTACTTAATTTTCGAAAAAATAACTTTCCAAAAAGCCCCAGCAACCACTAAAATATTACCCATTTATAAAAATGTTCTGGCTAGGGCGAGGGCGTATATATTCCTCCAAGACTTTTCTTCGCATACCCTCAATCAAGAAACCTGGTGATGGCACTGATTTACAGTAAGAGTATGGTCCGGGTCTATACTACAGTACACAACGATGTTGCTCAGACATGAAAATCAGTCATTTTTGTAGACGCAGAAATAGTCGAGCAAAATTTATGTTCTTACGTACGAATACGTACATGTAGATGCATTTAGTTGCATATTCCGCAAAGGATACATTTGGATCATCCCCATCTACAAGGTATTTTCTCTTCACCCCGTACAGGTATGAAATGTCGATACTTTAGTACGGTATTCTTTTTCTCTTCTCAGGTTACTGGTTGGTTCGCCGAGACAGAATTACTCCGGCATCATCAAGCCCGGCGCCATATATCGTTGTGCGGTCAACACCAGTTCAGCGTCCAGGAACTGTACAATAATGAATATCAGGGCAAATGGTATAAGACTCCAGATTAGCCTCTTTTTCTCTAACCTTTATTTTCTCTTTTCATATTTTCTCATTTTCTCCAAAACCTATTAATTAATATCTGGTTGTAGAGCGCCATTTGATTGGAAAAAGGATTACTTTATATCGTATAAACAGTGTTGCTTACGTCACAGTGACTTGCGTTTAGGGGCAATCATCTCATATTCTTACAATAAATGAATGAGAAATTAAATTATAAGGAATGAAATTAATAGCTACCCAATTTATACGGTATAAAGTGGGTTGGGGCAGTTAAAGTTTAATTCTTATTTTTTAAACTGTATAAATTAGGTAGCAATTAAATTCATTCCTTAAATCAAATATGCTTGATCAAAAATTCTGCAGTTATACACTTACATACCCGCGGTACTTGTGTTTACCGATTTATATGCACGTCTGTTCAATGCAAAGTTTTAGAATTTATCTCCCTTTTTGTGTTACTTAAAATTGTTTATCAATAATTACTTAATTTCCAGAGAGTAGATTCTCTTCTATCAAATCTGAAGAAAATCAGGGCCTTGGTTTAAACATGCTGATAACGGATCAGAACCTCGTGGTATGTATCTCAATTCATACATGTAAACGTGTCAAGAATTAGAGACGTTTCTTAAATTTCATTTAGTATACTAATGATTATCTTCAGTTGGTGATTCTCATGCTTTGGGTCATCACCAGGATGCATAAAAATGTAACAGAAAGGAATTGTACATGTTACAATTTAAGTAATACCTACACCATTTCTGTCATTTTGGTATAGGTAGGCGGATGAAGGGGATACAATTTGATATTTCAACAGATGTGTTCAGAGCCAAGACAGAATTTTATGTTGATTTGTTTAAATTACAGGGTTTCCATATTGTTTTTCAAAAACTTTTTTTTTCGGAATATCAAATTTTGTGACTTGAAGTGCCATTACGTTTAAAATATACAACTTAATATTAATTCTCTTCCACCACACAATGAGGAAGAGCCGACAGATATTATATGAACTTTAAAATTCATTGTTTTCCAAAGTCAAATTATGCTTTTATTACCAAGTCATTTTTATATTTTTAACATCACAGGAATCAATAACATATGTTTTTTTTTAATTTGTCTCAGATTATTAAACAAACGAAAAGAGCAGCCCGAATTTGTTAAGGGTCAATCGAAATCTAGTTTTTGGTATGTAAAATCGGATTCTATGGACATTTTCATGTACATATACGAACAGTGCCCCCTTTGTGCCAAAAAGGAGATCTTACAGAGAATCTTCAGTTTATTAGGTTATCAGTGCCTAAATAGTATAGAGGATGTGACTCAAATTAAGTTCAACAAGTCCAGAGAATCTTTAAAATCTTTTTAAAGTGTTTGTTTAAGAGTAACGAAATCAATATCATCATTTTTGGAACAATTTTTTAATCAATGGCTATACTTAGAAAATAAATTTGTTCTTTGAAAGCCTTTTAAAACTACATCCTTTAATCTGCATTGAAGCTAGATTAGATTGTCTTGATAAAGGGACCTTTCAGTTTTTAATATTGTAAGAAATGCCAATAGGTGATATCACTAATTCAAATTCAAATTCTATTAAAGAGGAATAACTTGTACTTTACCTGTTAAACTTTAATAATAAAACACAAACACATAGAATTTTAGTTTGAATACAAAAACACTTTATTCACATATTTTAATCAAAACTTTGCAAATAAATGAATATTTTAAGTCAAAGAAATTCATGAAAATAAATTAAAAAAAAACCATAAAACATATACTTGGAACAAGTGGTTGTTACGGATTTTTTATGGTTTGGTCTTTTTCGTTTTTGGTGTACATGTAGAAATTATCCCGAGCTTAAAGAGATTTATTCGCAACAATACTGTCACGTCATATACGTCGGTATATACGTGGGTGACACATGATAAGACTGGACAGGAAAAACAATAGTACCTCATATAAGTATATTCACTTTTTTCTTCGAATAATAAGACTAGTATTATAACATTCATTTTCATTGGGATTTATAAGCGTAAACTTGTGCAATTTTTAAAAAAAATAATTTCTTATGAAAGTTTGCGTTTTATTTAAATCTGATTAAAATCAGACCGTTTGATCCTCTCACGTAGATCGCAACACAAGATGGCGATATATGTGAGCAGATCAAAGAATCTGAGTTTAACGCTAGAAAATAGGAAATACCAAAGTACTCAGGAGTACAGAGTGCCGGGCTCATTTAAAGAGTAGAATTTTTTACATGAATCAAACATGTACATTGTATTAACAGATAAATAACAAGAACTTCAGACACTGGAAGAATATATAACACAAACAATTAAAAAAAATAATGATACTAATAAAATTAAGGACTTCAATGACATCTTATATGAAAATAAGTTGAAAAAATCTTCCGAAAAATTTATTCTAAAATATCAATATAAATGATAGACCAATTAGTTTTTGGGGGACCCCTTACCTCGGCCCGAATTTATCATGGTCAGAGTTAACCTGGCACCGCCGAATTTAAACAAAACAGATCAGTCTTGTTCCCTCTCCTGCTTTTCTTCGTCTTTGAAGAGAACTAGGCTACGACAGCATTGACCATCAAAAACCTTACGCAAATGAACTATGGTGTTTGACTTAGGACTGAAGTTTTCAAAGTCATTACTACTGATTATTTGCAAAGATAAAAATTCATTTTATTTTTGTTGCTTTATATAGCGTTTGTATTATCTCAAAAGCGGTTGAGAGTAAGTACTATATTTTTACAAGTAACTTTAATTTGGCGGCTGTGGGGTCAACACTTCCTGCGTGAACAGGCTGACAATAGCCGGCAATAAGCCCGGCTAAAAATACACTGTATAAAATAGTTTGTATGTAACATTTCTGTTGTTACGGTTGTTTTTTTTTTTTTGTTTTTTGTTTTTTGTTTTTTGGCTGTATGTTCATTTTGTATATCTGTTTTGTCCGTCGTCTTTCAACGTCCGTCGGTCGTAAAATTTTGAAAATTTTCAGCTTCTTCTCTAGAACCAATGAATCAATTTCAACAAATTTTGGAATATAGTGTTTTTGGTTGAAGGGGAACAAGAATAATGAAATTCATTGTCCCTCCCCTCCCTATGGGGCCTGAGAAGGATTGGGGTTAAAACCATCAAAATTAGTGCAATCTTAAAAAACATTCTTCTTTACGTCAAACTATTTTAATGTAACACGCATTTAGCCCTCTACCAAAATTGTGAAATTCATGGCCCCAGGGTCAGGGGTTCTGGTGCTAGGGAGGGGCTATGTTGAATATACAGTGAAAATGCATTATTTATTAAAAATCTTCTCCTCTACTCCTTGGTATTAAGCCGATGTAATAAGTGCATAGTTATGACGAGTAAGGATGCCTCTTCCAAAATTGTGAAAGATGTGGCCCCAGGGTCAGGGGTTGGGGGGCTCTATTGATTATATAGGGAAAATGCATTAGTTCTTTGAGAATCTTATTCTCTTCCTGAGTATTAAGCTAACATACTAAATGCAATAGTATAAATGTAAATGTATAAGTATAAATAAATGTGTCTCTTCTCTGCTCCTGGGTATCTGGGAGGCAAACAGTGTTCAAAATTGAGTGTATTAAGTGAAGCAGTTAGTGACATAGTGAATAGCCACGTTGTAAAGCCAAGAGGCAAGTGTTGGTACCAAATGTTAGCAAAACGCAAGCAGCTAAGTTGTTTGTGTAGCCAAGAGGCATCACCTCGAGTAAATATACAGGCATAAGAGATTTCTCTTTGTGTACTTAATTCTGGCACTAGAAAAGTGACAAAAACATATCTGTATATATTAAATACCTTACACACTAGGCAAGTGTCCATTGTATTTGTATACTTTGCATTCATTATCATCCTCGTAAGACTTGGACCTATTTTGTATTCATATGAAGCAGATTTTTTTCAAAATCTTAAACATGACAAAAAGAAATATCTTGCTGTGGCCCTCAACTTGACATTTAGATATATCGATGACGTATTATTAATTAACAATAATTATTTCCATTCATATGTCAACACAATATATCCCAGTAAGCTTGAAATAAAAGATACCACAGAGTCTGACACATCTGTGTCGTATTTGGATATTTTACTAGAACAAGAGGCCCAAGGGTCTTAACGGTCACCTGAGTATAATACAACAATTTAGAAGTTAAATACACTGATAGATGAAGCTTTGTTGCCCTAAAGCAAGAGAAGTTGGAAGATCAGGATCAACAAAATAATTAGTCTTAGACTAGTATTCAGTATCAACTCATAACTTAAGTTCTAATCTGTCCCCCCACTTAACACTATCACCATGCAGACTATTAACAAACTATTAGTGCTTCTGTACTATTTTTAAACCCATATTAAGACCTCTAGCATTGACCTCTCTTATGGTCTTTGAAGAAGTTATTTTTGTGTCATTTTTATTTATCTATTACTTACAGGTCTGCCTGATTATTAAAACTAAGAAAGTACTTTTTGAATTATACGATAAACATTCTTGCATAATTATCTTATTCTATTAACCTTTCAAATACATTATTTACAGTGATTAATTATCAAAGGTGAATGGAAAAGGGGAATAACTTCTCTCAGTAGAATACAAATTAATAGAGCCCTACCCAGGACCAGAATGCTTAGACAAATGGTCCAGATGTTCAAAAATCTGGTAGAAATACGCTTACTTATATCATTTAAACTTTTACTCAGTTTGCTTCCGATATGCCCAGAAGCAGAGAAGAATTTCACAGGTACAATGCATTTTCACTACAGATTCAACAAAGCCTTACCCTAACACCAGAACCCAAGACCAAGGGTCAAGAAATTTACAAATTTGGAAGAGTTACCCTCATCATCATTACTATGGACTTCAAAGAATTAACACTTTTCCACTATATTATCAAAAGTCCCCCCACCCCACCCCACCCCTCGTTATGCCAGAACCCCTGACCTTAGGACCACAAGATTGAAAAATTCTGTTCGAAGCTCCCAATTTCATCATAGCTAAGCAATTTATTTATCAGCTCAACTCTAAGGAGCAGACAGGATTAATTAATGATTAATTAATAGAATTAATGCATTTTCACTATATAATCAATAGAGCCCCACCCTAACACAAGAACCCCTGACCCTGGGGCCATGAATTTCACAATATTGGAAGAGGCACTCTTGCTCTTCATAACTATGTACTTAGTTACCTTATTTAATACCCAGGAGCAGAGAAGTAGATTTTCAAAGAAATAACGCACTTTCACTATATGATCTATATAGCCCCACCCTGGGGCCAGAACCCCTGACCCTGGAGCCATGAATTTCACTTCATCCATAGATGCTATGTGCCAAATTTGGTTGAAATTGGTTAAGCGGTTTCAGAGAAGAAGCTAAAAATGTTCAAATGTTAACGCACGACGCACGCCGACGGACGACAACGGATAGCAATAGGTCACCTGAGTGACTCAGGTGACCTAAAAAGACGTTAATGGTAGTCTAACAACAAAGCTTTATGATGAACGTGATGACTTTAACTTTTTAATCGTCAACTTCACTAACTTATGCAGCAATATACCCTTATTACCTGCATATGGGGTGTTTATCTCTCATTTGATTCGATACGCAAGAGCATGCTCTACGTATGAACAATTTCTAAAACGAGGTAAGTTAATGAAAACAAGTTGATGAAACAAGAATATCAACAGTCTCGTTAAAGTCATCATTTCGTACGTTCTGTGGTCGATACAATGACCTTGTCAGCAAGTACAATCTATCATTATGTCATATGTTGACTGACGTTTTTCATACTAATTTTAGGCCATCATTTACACACTGAATTGTCGACGGATTTTTTCGTTATTTACCGATCATGACAAGGAGCACACGGCGGGTTTGACTGGTCGGCAGAGGATGCTTACTCCTCCATGGCACCTTATCCCACCCCTGATGTTTTTTGAGGGCTTTGTTTGCTCTGCTTCCGATTTATATTGTTTTATTGGACTTTGAGCTTGAATACTGTTCGTTATCTCCATATTTCATTAGACAAACCAAGTACGATCCCATGGAGGTCGCTCAGGTCTCGCATGTTACAATAAGCAAGGGGATTTTTTACCAGATTTTTAGCTCATCTCAAGGAAGTTGGGGGGAGCTTATGTAAAACCCTTGGTTTCGGCATCGGTGTCGGCGTTCCAGGTTAAAGTTTTTGGAGCAGATTTCTTTTGAAGTACTTATATGCCTTATATTAACAGAGTCTGAGATGCATGGAGGATGCTTGTTACTATAAGCCCTATATTAGCCAAGCTTGCATGGATGATACATCTAAGGATGCACACTACTAGACCTGTTTTGGATGCCGGATCTGACCTATATTTTCCAGATGAGTGACCAGGTTTGGGTTTTAGACCAGCTCCATTACCAAGAAACTATAAGGGCTATCTGAACCAAACTTGCATGGATGATGCACTCTCAAACTTGCCAGATGCTGGATTTGACTTACAATTTTTGGATGAGTGCCTTGTTTTAAATTTTAGGTATAAGTCAATTCGCAAGTAACTGTAAGCCCTTATCAGACCAAGTTGCAGAAATGTTACTTCTAGGGATGCACACTACTAGATTATTAGTTAAGTGTGTAACTTTGCCTTATTTAAAGACAGCATTCATTGAGGTGAGCTCTGTAATCTCTAATTACCTACGTTTTTGAAATTCTTGGGCAATAGCTTCATCTTTCAGTTGATTTTGCTCTATACTTGTATGGATCCTTTACTGTGTTGTATTATACTCAGGTGACCGTTAAGGTCCTTGGGCCTCTTGTTTACATTGATAATCTAATATCTAAATTTCTAATTATTTTCTCTGTGATAACTCTTTAAAAGTTAGGTGAGTTTATTTTTGATAATCAAATCTGAATGTAAATTTCGCCAAGTGAAAGGTCAGGAGCCTAATATGCATGTCAATCTCGTGCGGCTTTCTTTGTGTCTGACGTCAGTGGGAGGGTACTCTTGTAATTAACACGGGAGGCCTCGTGTATTTTAAATCTATTAGACAGTATTTTTTTTAAATTTATAAATACAATTTTATTTCACGAAGTAATGTAAATATAAAGAATCACTGTCTAGTTTGTTGGATATGCTAGGGACATCAACGATAGTTGGAAACGTGGGATAATTTATCCATAACGGGCGACATTGTTGATGTCCTTGGCATACCCAACAAACTAGACAGTGATTCCTTAAATATTTCAACCACGAATTCCAAAAAAAAAAACTAAAAACTACTGAAACATTCTTAAGGTTTTATATATTATTTCTCCAACTTAACAAAAATAGTTTTAATGTTGTTACAAGGCCGTAACTACCATTGAGGCAAGTGAGGCAAATGCCTCACTAAAATTTTAGGGTTTTCTGAAAAGTGAAAAAGTTTTACTTTGAACTTTAATTGATTATGTTTTTCTTTGTACTAAATTAATACGTTCAACTACTGTTAATCGACCATCTAACCAGGTGCTTTATTTTAGAACGCATGTAAAAATAATTCAAAACATGAAAACTTTCAAATATTGAGTTTTTAATTTGTTAAAAGCAAGGTTTCGGGACCCCCCCCCCCCCTCGAGAATCCTCATCAGGCCCCGGGATCATGAAAGCTCTTAAGCTTAAGTCAAAATCTTTATATTGTACTACAATGTTGTAGAAGTCAAACAGACCAAAACAATAATATTTTTCTATATTGCATCACCAGAGAGCTGTATCTGCTAATTCAGAGCTTAAGTTGACAATATATAAACATCTTACAGGTGACTGAAATCTGACTTAAGTCTATGTCTGTTTCATGATCCTGGGGCCAGGACCCTACCCTGGACGAGCTTGGGATTTTTAGTGGCCCCGTGATCCCTTGCCTCACTAAAAATTTGGCCCTAGTTACGTCCTTGTGTTAAACAGGTGGGAGCTGCTGTATAGGTTACAATTTATGATGGACGTGATTGTACAGGTTCGGAGAAGAACTTTATCTTGTCCTCAAAATCTTACAAGATGTTTATAAATGCCCTTTTTGTTTGGTTTTGTTTTTGTCTTTTTTTGTTTTTATTGTTTTGTTTTTTTTGTTTTTTTGTTTTGTTTTGTTTTGTTTTTTTTTTTGTTTTTTTTTTTTGAGTGTGTGTGTTTTGCGTAGTGTTTTACCGGACATCAAATAAATTTTAAAAAGTTTTTTACAGGCCTGTTCGCCTATGTGGAAGGAGGCGTATTCGTTTGACCAATACTTCGCTTACGGCAAATGCAGCGACATACCCCTTAACGGTCTAAACACGAACAATAACAAGTTCTTTGGAGTGACGAGTAACTATGTTGCAGCCGAGTTCGGCTTCAGCAGCAGTAGGCGGGCAGGGGTAAGGAGAAGAGCGCATCTCATTAAAATACTTTACCAGATTTTGATAAGTCAAAGTCACCGGTACTTGACGTTTTCAATTTATTCTTTATTAATAAAAAAAAGTCCATGCTAAAATAATTACAAGGTTCGACACGGTCGCCATTTAAATTTTTCAGTACAACAACATCTCGTTGATTTTTTTTCAAAAGGTTCCAATTAATGGACATAGCCATCTGCGTCAAGTACGTATTATATAAGAAATAAGTTGATTACTGTCTTGAAAAATAAGGCTTGCGATATTTGGACGAGGGTAAGAACACGATTTCGACCCGAGCTCAAATATTTCATATATTTCAAGACAGTTATCAGGTATTTTGTTTATCCTGCAACATAGTTTTACATTTGACTACCAAAATGGGTTATTTATTTTTCATCAAATTTAGATACGTTTATGACGTCACAATGCTTTTAAGGACATCGAAATGTACGAGGCTATATTTTGGAACTGACGGAATATATTATAGCTTTGGTTAATTAGGTTAACTTTATTCTGTCAATATAAGCGGTAGCTGCAGGATACAAATGTATATATATATATATATATATATATATATATATATATATATATATATATATATATATATATATATATATATATATATATATATATATATATATATATAGGCTTATTCCTATTAAAATTGGCGTATAATGCATGCTCCATGATAAGGGTGAATATGGAACTTGAGCTGTTTTAATTACTGTATTACGCACAGCATTTATCCTTACTGTCAGGAATATATTGACACATGTATACTTACCCATTGTTGATCTCCAACTACAGTAAGCAAATAAATCAAGTATTCCTTTTAAAGAATGATCGGCATGGGATCATAAAGTCAGCATTATGAAATGTATTGAATTAAGTTTGTAGATTTTTTCTTTTAATTAAATTAATTTTTTCTATGAGTATATATATATATATATATATATATATATATATATATATATATATATATATATATATATATATATATATATATATATATATATATATATATATATATATAATCACAACACCGAAATAAACTCTACCGGTTTCATTTTCAATCTTCAGGAGTTTGACAAAATATTGCTTAGTTACACATAAATACAAAATCAATATTCTTACTGTGACGTCAAAAAGCGCTAATGTGAATTTACGCATTAGTAAAGTTAATTATGACGTCATGACATAACGTAAGAAATTTAATACGGGAAATTAAATTTCCCATACAAATAATACAGATATAAATTGCGGGAAAAAAGTATATATCTGATACAAAATATAATTATGTAGCATTTAAAACAGGTTTATATCTGTTAATAAAAAGTTTTTCTTTGGTTTCACGTTCTTTTTCTGTGGTATCCCTTCGAAACTTGTAAAAGGGAAAAACGGTAAAGTTGGGACTTTTATTCTTGGCACAGTTTCTAATATGGTCACTGACGGGGGTACATCGGTATTTTGGTTCCCTAATTTGCTGTCGGTGTACGGTCATTCTGTGTCTTAAGGTGTCTCCTGTCTGACCGATATAATTTTCACCGCAACCGGCGCAGGTAATCACATAAATAAGATTGGAACTAGTGCACGACATGTTGGTTTTAATATTAAATTTACTTCCGGTTTTGAAATGAAATGTAGATCCTTCTGTCAGGTATGGACATGTACTGCATCTGGAATTGTTGCATTTATTGATGATGGCTGGTTCATGGTTGTTACTGGAAAAAGATGCTCTGGTAAGGATGGATTTAAGAGAAGGGCTTTGTCGCTTGCTTTTGATAATCTGTGAAGTATCTAATATTTTCTTCATGTCTGGGTCATCTTCTAAGATAGGCAGGTTATTTCTTATTATGTTGAAAATTTCCGGATTTCTGGGATTGTGCGTTGAAACGTATGGTATAACATTATCAACGGGTTTATTTTTCACTGTAAGAAGATCCTTTCTTTCATGAGATTTGGCTTTGTTAATTCCGTTTTGAATCAGTTGTTTAGGATAATGTCTTTGAAGGAGTAGATTTTGTAATTCTGTGAGACGAGAGTCCAAGATTTCCGTATCAGAGATTATTGTACAAAGACGCCTTGCTAAATTGTATGGAATATTATTCCTGGTGTGTCTAGGGTGACATGAATCAAATATAAGATATTGCTTTGTATCTGTTATTTTGTAGAAAACGTCCGTTATTATACGGTCTTCTTTTTTAATAACCATAACGTCGAGGAAGGATAACATATTTTTATCCGATTCCATGGTGAATTTCAAAGTAGGGCTCAAAGTGTTGAGAATATTGAAAAATTCCATTAATTGATCTCCACCTTTGTCCCATATGATGAAACAGTCGTCTAAGTAGCGTCTCCACGATTTTTTTATATAAGTTTCAAAGTTGTGACCGAATTTTTCTTGAACTGTAGAAAATAGTTTTTCTTCTAAGAATCTCTTAAATCCATCCTTACCAGAGCATCTTTTTCCAGTAACAACCATGAACCAGCCATCATCAATAAATGCAACAATTCCAGATGCAGTACATGTCCATACCTGACAGAAGGATCTACATTTCATTTCAAAACCGGAAGTAAATTTAATATTAAAACCAACATGTCGTGCACTAGTTCCAATCTTATTTATGTGATTACCTGCGCCGGTTGCGGTGAAAATTATATCGGTCAGACAGGAGACACCTTAAGACACAGAATGACCGTACACCGACAGCAAATTAGGGAACCAAAATACCGATGTACCCCCGTCAGTGACCATATTAGAAACTGTGCCAAGAATAAAAGTCCCAACTTTACCGTTTTTCCCTTTTACAAGTTTCGAAGGGATACCACAGAAAAAGAACGTGAAACCAAAGAAAAACTTTTTATTAACAGATATAAACCTGTTTTAAATGCTACATAATTATATTTTGTATCAGATATATACTTTTTTCCCGCAATTTATATCTGTATTATTTGTATGGGAAATTTAATTTCCCGTATTAAATTTCTTACGTTATGTCATGACGTCATAATTAACTTTACTAATGCGTAAATTCACATTAGCGCTTTTTGACGTCACAGTAAGAATATTGATTTTGTATTTATGTGTAACTAAGCAATATTTTGTCAAACTCCTGAAGATTGAAAATGAAACCGGTAGAGTTTATTTCGGTGTTGTGATTTTTTTTGATATACGACTACGTGTGTGGATTTATTTTATATATTTCTGGTATATATATATATATATACATGTATATGTATGTATGTATGTATATATATATTTATATATATAGTTATTTTTTTTTTCAATTATTTATTCAATTTTTTTCATTATTTCTCAACTAAGGATAACCATATTAATATTATTAATATACCAAATAAATAATAGAACAAATTTTAACAGGGCAATGTTGTTATATGAAGAACTATGACCACATACATTATTTTGCCTTTAAAAAAATATTTTTTTTCTCTGGAAAAACATAAAAAAAATGTAATGTGGACTTTTTTTCTTTTTAAATGGGATAAGATACAGGCAATCAAATAGGCTAAACCTTTGAAAATAAATATAACTCTGAAAATAAATTAACTATTAAATGTTTTACAGAATTCTGAATTAAAGTTGCAAGTACATAAAATCTTATTAGTATTCATGCATGTACCTACTGAGTCAATTTTGTAAACGATTTTTTTTTTTCTTGTTAACAGGATCATAAATTATGATCAGGAATATCTCCCGTAGGCGTCGGAAGCAAATTGAAAAGAGGAGGGGGCTAAACCAACAAAAAAAGTTTGGGGGCTAATTCCCAATTTTCAATGCCTATATTATGTCTATCTTTGCGAAAAAAAAAGGGGGAGGGGAGGGGGCTAAAGCCAAAGCCGATCCCAAATTGTATACTTTGGTCATACGTGTTTTAAAAAAAGGGAGGGGGTCAAATCCAAAAAATTTTCATAAAAAGCTAGAAAACATTAGATGTTAGAAAACATTAGATGCTTAACATCGTTAAAGACGTAAATAGTGGGAGGTGGTATTGGTAGTAAATCAACACACAAAAATAGGTGAGGAACAGGGCAAGATTATGGACGAACTAAACTGGTATATATGTATTCTTGATATTATACGTACATTTGGCGAAAAATGCCAAAGTTTCTTACAGAAGAATTGCCTTCATATTCACTGACATCGACATAAGTGATTTTTAAAAAAAAAAAAAAATAGAAATCAATATAATTGTACACTGAAAGAAATTGGAGGGCATTCTGATTTACAAAATAACATCAACTTCCGGCCTCTTTACAAAATTTACAGCCATAGACCGTGTTCGGAGCGATATTTTCCCAAACAAGAGGCCCAATGGCCTTAACGGTCACCTGAGTATAATACAACAATTTTGAGGATCCATCGAGTATAAAATAAACTGAAAGGTGAAGCTTTGTTGCCCAAACGGAAGAAAAATAGGGTGATCAGGATCAAAAAATAATTAGTCTAGTATTCATTAACAGTTTGTAAATTAGGTTCTAATCTGTTCCCCGTTTATCACTATCACCATACAGTATATTAACGAACTAATCAGTGCTTCAGTACTATTTTAATTCCGTGTTGAAATCTCTTACATTGGCCTCTCTTGGTCTTTGATGAACATTTAAAAAGACAAGTTATTTTTGTCTCATTTTTATTTATCTATTACTTACAAGTCTACCTGAACATTAAAACTATGAATCAAAGTACTTTTTGTATTATACAATAAAAATTCTTGCATAATTCTCTTATTCTGTTTACCTTTCAAGTACATTACTTACAGTGATTAATTATCAAAAGTAAATGGCAAAGGGGAATAACTCCTCTCAGTAGAATACAAATGAATAGAGCCCTGGCCAGGACCAGAACACTTGACCAATTGGTCCAGATGTTCAAAAATCTGGTAAAAATACTCTTCCTTATTAAAACTTTTACTCTTTTTACCTCTGATATGCCCAGGTGCAGAGAAGATTTTTAAAGAAATAATGCATTTTTACTACAGATTCACTATGTTATCAATAGACCCCCCCCCCCCTCCCAAGCGAGAAACACCAGAGCCTCTGACCCTGGGACCAGAAGTTTGCTCATCATAAGTTATCACTGACTTTGTTTATCTGCTTAACACTAAGAGCAGACAGGATTATTTAATAGAATTAATGCATTTTCACTATATTATCAAGTCTAGAGTCCCACCCTTACACCAGCACATCTGATCCAGGGGTCATGCAATTCACTAATTCACTACTCTGGAAGAAACACTCTTGCTCATCATAACTATATACATTTAGCTTCTTTGCTTCTTTGCTTTTTAACCAGGAGCAGAAAAGAATATTTTCAAAGAAATTTTGCTTTTTCACTATATAATCAATAAAGCCCCCCCCCCCCCCCCCCGGGGCCATGAAATTCACAATTTTGGAAGAGGCATCCTTGCTTATCATAACTCTGTATTTAATTTGTTTAGATAATACCCAGGAGTAGAGAAGAAGATTTTCAAAGAAATAATGCACTTTCACTATAAGATCTATATAGCCCCACCCTAGCACCAGAACCCCTGACCCTGGGGCTATGAATTTCACAATTTTGGTAGAGTCACTCTTGCTTATCATAACTATGTATTTAATTTGTTTAAATAATACCCAGGAGTAGAGAAGAAGATTTTTTCAAAGAAATAATGCACTTTCACTATATGATCTATATAGCCCCGCCCTAGCACCAGAACCCCTGACCCTGGGGCCATGAATTTCACAATTTTGGTAGAGGGCTCAATGCTTATTACAATCATGCCAACAGTTTGACTGCTTGATGTCCAGGAGTAAAGAAGAAGATTTTTAAAGATAGCACTAGTTTTGATGGTTTTAGCCCCATCCCTCAGGCCCCAGGGGGGCAAGGACCATGAAATTCACAATTTTTGTACCCCTTTACCCATTGATGCTGTATGCCAAAATTGGTTGAAATTGGTTCTGTGGTTCAAGAGAAGAAGCTGAAAATGTTCAAAAGTTTACGACCGACGCACGACGGACGACGCACGACGGACGACGACGGACGAAAACAGATAGCAATAGGTCACCTGAGTGACTCAGGTGACCTAATAAATGGAATGGATAATATGGGATTCCAGGTGAATTGTACGAAAGTTGAGACATATTATATTACAGTAGGTACTTAGCGCAGAAGAACACAGTTTGAACACATTCTGGACCAAAAAACAAAAAACAAAGCGGTGTAGTTGAACTGAAAAATCCAAGATGGCAACCGTGACGAACCTTGCTATTATTATTATGGCATGGGATTTTTTAATTATAAAGAAAATGTTTAAAAAGTCAAGTACTTGTGGTAAGAGTGTATAATTACTGCAATAGAGCATGGGTTTGTAAAACAAACAAACAAACAAACAAACAAGCAAAAAAATAAATAAATAAATAAGAAGAATTTCGCACGTACACGTAGAATTAAACACAATTAATTCAGTTAAAGCGAATTCATATGTAATGTACACTATATTTGAAGTCATATGTAAATAACATACCAGCATAGATACATGTATGTATATTTCAATTATAGTCTATTAAAGCTGATAAAATTATATAATTGTACTTAATCTCATTAATCTAATAAATTTGTATCCTTTGATCCACTCCCTTATATTACTAGCTAGATCACTAGCGCGACCCATGTGTAGCGATCTTCGGGAGCGGATCAAAAGATCTCATTTTAATTAAATGCACTTCTTGTGTCTATTTTCGTACAGTTTAGCAGCAATGGGATCGTTCTGGGAACCCCTGTTGTATACGGTTCCACTGGTGGGTTTTATTCTTTTGATCTGAATGTATTTTATTGTATTATATTTACAAAAAGGATTGCATACCAGTTCTCTCAATTTAGTGAATCTTTCTTTGTGATACATATACCGATTTCAATGATTGTCACTATAAAAAAAAATAAAAAAAATATATATAAATAAATAACTAAAAATAAATAAAATTAGAATAAAATAAAAAAAATAATAAATAAAAAAAAAAAAAAACAACAACAAACAAACAAAACAACAAAAAAAATCTTGCATGCTATATATATGCAGTGCTTATTATTTCCTATGCCTCATTTTATAAATTGCTTTTTGAACTTTTCTCCCTTGAAGATACAAATTATAGATATTGGATGTTAGAAAACCTTATTCATTTTATATATGATAACACGTTGCTGTCGTTCAGAAAAAACTGCAATACGTGGACCACAGGTCTGTGTTTCTAGTAGAAATCTAGAAGAAGTTTGCAATTTTGTAACGAAAGGCATTGTAGAGAGGAAGCAATTATTATTTTTTTTTTTTAAGCTCTATGCAAGAACTAAATCTTAATACATGATACATGTAACTGTGGGCATGTTTATTCGCCATTATTGCATGGAATAATAGTAGCAAATGAATTCTGCAAAGGTTTCGCAGAAAAAATTGCTTGACGAATACAAAGATTACAATTCGAATTTTCTCTGTTCTTACACTTTCGTCTGCTGAACTTGCTGCGATCGCTATAAAAAGATTTCTTTTATCATGAAACATGTTAATTATTCATGATAATTTAACGTTATAGTCTATTTACTGAAACTGTAATAATAAATGATAGAAACACGTCCTGGATATCTATACTTAATCAAGGCATCAATTGTTAACTGTATGTAGCCTTGACCTTTAAATATCACAAATACGCCACAATAGAACTATTTTTGACGAGCTTAGATTTTAAAATATTGTCCAGTTTTCACCAGTATTGTTCTCTTTGAAAGAGAAGTTATCTCTGTTGTTGCTCAAGAAACTCAGATGACCTTTTTTTCTTGAAACGAGTATGTTAGGAAATAGGTCCTCACCCCCCTCCAACCGAAATTACGTCTCTCGTCCTAGGAGCCTGGATGCACAAAACTGATGCCGATGACGTTTCCTGTACGAAAATTTACGCCCTGACCTTAGGCAGAAATCAAAAGACGGAATCCGCCTTTATCTATAAAGAACTTAATAAGACTATTAAACGGAGTCCGGGTGGAATCAGGGCGGAATAGGGCTCGAAATATTTAAATGAGTTAAGGCGTATTCCGCCTTTCCTAATATGGATTACTTTCAAGGCATATTCCGCCTTACCTGCAAGGCGTATTCCGCGTTAATGGCAAGGCGTATTCCGCCTTACTTAGGATAGGCGTATTCCGCCTAACTTAGGATAGGTGTATTCCGCCTTACTAGCAAGGCGTATTCCGCCTTACTAGCAAGGCGTATTCCGCCTTAATGGTTAGAGGGATTTTGCATTAATGGTTACATAATCTGCCTATCACAGTGTATCAGCTATTGTTGTTTCAGACTTTTACAAACTTAACAATTAAAAAAAATGAAATTATACAAATTATAAATCATTTATTTACAAGTTGTTAAAATTCAATGACTAAAAAGATTTTACATTTGAAAATGTTATGCCTTGCCTTAAATTCACATGAAATAAAAAGATAAAAAATATTGTACCAAAACTTGATTTTTCTTCATACATCTACATAATAATGTGACTGTCACAGTTGAATTAACAAAAAAAAAAGAAAGACAAAACCATTGTTTAAAAGTCAATTCAACAAACCAATTAGCTGTTAATTTACCACTGGTTGATTATTTTCACAAAATTCTTTCTGTCTGCAAGGAAAGAGTGTGTCATTTTTATTGTTCTTCTTCCTAAGTTATCTGGAATAACTTATCTTTTCCATGATTCAAGCTTTCCTTTGCCATTCTTCACACACGGTCACCACATGTTGAAGTCTATAAAGAAAATACAAACTGAGATGAACTTCTTGTTTTAAAACAACTCTTCAACATTTTTCAATAAAATGACTGTTTTATGGCATTCTATTCTGTATTACAGATCAGGATGCAAACAGTCTTGTCTAATTTCTCTCAACACTAAAACTTACAAAATATAAGAATAATTTTTTATATATTTATCAGACATCTGATTTCTTCATGTATTTTACCCCTCATAACCTCCAATACAGTTGAATGAAGCACAGGTGTTAGATTGCATTCCTTTTTCCCATGAATCTTCGGCAAGCTCTCAAATGAGAAGTCTCAGCAGCATTGCGAGTTTACTCCTAAGGGTGGATGGACAGTGACTTCTGGCCTTCATCCTGACTTGCTGCAGTTGCTGCAGTCCTCATTTTACCTTATCAGCCAAAATTGCTGAGGATTAAAAAGCTCGAAGTGCTGAAATGTATAACACTGCACTGCAGAAAATCCTAATATCTACAGTTTTAAAATTGACTTAAATAGGTTTTTAATCTCTTATTCAATTACTTTTCATAATCTTCATATATTTGTAAAAGGTAATAACGTAAGACCCCATTCTACAAACACTTCTAATTTACATGTATATTCAATAACTGCTCATGAAATATGTAGATCTAACTTAAATGAATATACTCATATCCATGTATGTTTTGAAATGTACATTTGCAGCTGCTTATTGAATAATTAGGAAAACAATCGTGTAGATGCATCAACGTTAGGAGGAATGGTACACTTCAATATGGATGAAAAAATAAATTAAAAAAACTTGTTCAAATTTCACCCCAAAAATGTATTGTAAGAATTTCATCAAGGTAAAAAAAAAAGAAGAATTCCATGTACATGATGTATATATTAATATTTTAATATTTTAAATGATGACTTACATCTCAGAACCTGACTCCTAATCCCAACTGAGCAGCGAACTACACTTTTAGAAGGGTGTCTGTGTCACCATTCCACTAATAAACCACTGGTTAAACCAGTGCTAACACACATCATAACAAATTTTTCAATCGTGATTTTAAAACTGGAAGTAACTACAGGTCGCTAATTTTAAAAGGAAATCGTATTTCCGGAAAACACATACGCAAAATGAAAAATCAAATTACAAAAGTACATGTTGATTAATAATTGACAAATGAATTAGTAATTTTTTTTATCCTTTATCTTTGTACTTTTTAATATTTTAATCTAAAAGGACATACTCATGGGGGGGGGGGGGGGGGGAGGGAGGCTACCCTTCATTAGGCAAAAAGAAATGGCGCCTGAAATTTTATGCGCAAACTTTTTTTTATAACATCTGGGTCAGTGTAGAGTATAATGTGAATATAGGGCCTCAATGCTATTCCAGTTGGAATTAATTATCGGAGTAATGGTGGAGAGTGGTGTGTACATATTTCGGCTGTACGAATTCAAAAAAAGAGAGAAAAGAAAAAACACCGCTAAAAATTTTAACTTACCATTGTTTTTCACAGTTACATGTATTCCTGTACAGTGTTTAGAAGTCCTTCTTTGTCCATTCAGCATGTTCACCGAGCATAATTTGCTTCACTTCAAAGCTTAGTTAAGAATAACACAAAAAGTTGTATTTTATCACTCTTTTTTCCAAAAACACATAACAAATCATCTTCAGAATAGTTAAATTTACAGGCATACATCTTGCCTGAGTTCCTTTTTAAACTGAATAAGATATAAAGATTCATCAACCAAATTGACCAACAGTCATCACTTTCAAAATCTGCATTCAAACTGACCAACGCATCCAAAGAGAGGCTCTGCCTGAAAACTTCTGCCCCCCTGTAGAGGTTGGTCAAGCAGGAGCGCATTAGAAACGTATATCTGATATACAATATGGCTGCAAAAAATTACTCCTCTAGGAAACGCAATCTTCAATGTAATAAAAAGCCTAATATTCAAAGTCTAATAACTGGATTAAAAGCCATGTTTGACTATTTTTTTTCGAATATCTCCCCCATTAGTGCCTTTAGAAAACAAGGTCATCTAGAGGAATGAAACATGTGGTCATAATTTAAACTGTTCATAATTTAAAGATTAATGCAGAATCCGTCTAAGAGCTAAGCCGGAAAACGTCTAACAAAAATACGCCTCAGATTTAAGGTGGAATCCACCTAAGATATGAGGCGGAAAACGGTTAAAGCTAAGACGTTTTCCATGTCCGCCTTTAGTACGGCTTAGTCCACCTAGCACTTAACCGGAATCCGTCTCAGTCCGCCCGGACTCCAGGCGGAAAACGGTTAAGAGTTTCGTACGGGTTGCCCTAGTATCTTTTAAAGCCTTATCGTTGATTTAAGCTTTAATTCAAGTTGTAAAGCCATCTAAAATTCTTCCTCCGTTTTAAAATGTTTGTACTATAGAAACCCCGAACTTATTAATTTTACAATCCATATACATTTAACTATAGATTGTTTTCTTGAAACTTGAAACTTTTTATTCACTCAAGGCCTCACATGAGGTATAAGAGTACAAACATAATACAATATTTAAACTTCTAAAACTAGTCAACAAAATAGGAACAAACATATGTACAAGAGTTACAGGTTTTTCGATAGGCCTGAATCTAGCAAGAGTTATTTCCCGTTGGCCGCCATATTTGAGGTCCAACTAGCGAATTTTCCTCTTTGAGCAACCAATTATAAACTTGTATGGCAGAAATATAAGGGCAAAAATCCCTGAAATACCAAATTACGAATTAAAGGAAGCTTGTGTTTTATTTTCCCCATTTTGCATTTTTTTTTTCAATATCATATATTAAATACTGGTTAAAAATTCAACGTATTTTACAACAACCCGCTTTAGATTCACCCAAGAACTGACAAATGCAGTAATTTACTAGATTTGTGAATTTCATGACCATTGGATCAGGGGTTCCGGTGCTAAGGAGGGGCTCTATTAATCATGTAGTCATCATGTAATGTTTAATTTTCTTTGATAGACGTTATTCCTCTTTGATTATTCACCTTCGATAATTTATCATTGTAAATAATGGGTTTAATAGGTCACTTGAATAAAAGAATTATACAAGATTTTAATAATAAATTAAGTACTTTTCTAGTTTTTTTATGGTCACGTGGACTTGTACGTAATACATAATTAAAATATGGCAAAATTCCTTATGTTTTGAACTGCAGATCTTATTAAAAACCAGGAGAGGCCAATTATGGGGATTCTGCATCCACTGTAATTTCAAGCCGAAGTAGTGTGTTGTTTAGAACTGGGTGATTGTCACATATTGGCAAGGAGATATTGTATATATATACTTTCAGAGTTTTACAGGCGTTTTGTTGATCCTTGATTGCCCTATTTCTCCTGTTTTTGAACACCTTCAGCATATGTATCTTCCTTTATGAATGTATTTTATTTAATTGTATAATTTTTAAATTGCCTTTCTATGGATTATTTACGAAATTGCATTATACTCAAATGGGGTAAAAAAAGACCATAGGCCTCTTTATTTATTTTTTTTTATACAGGTGGATTCGTTTTCTACCAAGAAGGCAATGTTTTGAATTTCTGGGAACGATTTAACATAATGGAGAACGGTAATATGGACAATCTACGCTCAGTGTTCACATACGGTGCATATTTAGGTAAAGAAAAGAAGACATTTCTTATAGTACATTTTGAACTAATGCCGTATTTTTTTTCACCAGTATCATCCATTAACAGATTAAGGGAGATATTTTGTATTTTAAAGGCTACATGTACATGATTCGGAAAAAAAAATGTTTTTTGTACTGCGTTTAAATTACATAAGATAAGATTTTCATTTCAGTACATTTGTTTTCTTTGTAACCATGATGATATTTCTTTAGCTTTTTATTTTATTTATTTCAAAATGCAAATATATATATATATATATATATATATATATATATATATATATATATATATATATATATATATATATATATATATATATATATATATATATATATATATATATATATAATATTTATTTATTTATTTATTTAAAATGTGTAATACTTTCTTTTTAACATTGTACATTGTTAAATGTTAAGGACAATAACTCTCTTAAACAGACATGTAAGGTTTACCTCCCTTTGATTCACAGGTTACTCTATTGGAGCTGGGATATTTGGCAGTACCGTCAGTCCAGCAGCCCCTCAGATAGTCCTGGGTGCCCCAGGGTTCGCCAACAACGAAGGCACGATAGGAGCTGTAAGATTATGCATTTTTGATTTACTCAGATGTATTGGTAAAATTTTGGAGCTTGTGACTCTTGCATTTTGGACAAATTCTAGTGGTACCATGCAGCACTTATATAATCTGTGTATATAGTAAGCGGGATTAATTAAAAGGAGAATATGCAAATTCACATACTGTATAATATCATCCCTTTCCGAAACTATGAAAATTTTAGCAATCCACAGACAGAAAAGCAAACAGCTTCTCTGCAAAATTCACGCATAGGTTTTTGCTTTTTGTTTAATTCATCAAAACGTTTAAAAAGATTTATCAGTCATTTAGACTTCACAATGGTTTTAACAAAGCGATAAATAAGTACTGAATGTATTTTTTAGATGGGGATTTTCGAGAGAGATGGAAGTAATCTTCGCATGAGGAAGTTGTTAAATGGAAAAACGGTTGGTAAATGCTATTAAATACCAAGATAAATTGGATTTTAAGTCACTGGAAAGGAAATGAATAATGTTTTTGTCGACATAATGATAGATCGGTAGTGGATTCGGACAGTCATTGGTTGTGGCGGACTTTAACGGCGATAACAGGGATGATATCGCTGTGGGATCACCGATGGAGGGAGAGAATGACATGAACAATGTGGATGTCGGGGCTGTGTATGTTTACTATGGGACCGGAAGTTCCTCAGTAAGTGTGTCTTTTTTAGTTTCTAATCGTAATTATGATAAGATTTTCGGTATATGAGCGTATTTCTAACTAAACTAATCTGTGTGTAATACATTAATGAAAATGTTTCTACACGTTGTGCTGTTCTAGAGAACAGTCAGTTTCAAATGGAGTATTTTAAATATGATAGCAACGTTTTACTCTTATTATTTATTTTAAAAAAACATATTGATTGTGAGAATGTTTTAAAATTTGTATTTTTTTTAAGAAATGAATTTAATTTTTGAAAATTCATATGAGGACATGTACTACTACGCCTGACACTTTCTATAGCTAGGGCCATGCAGTCTGGATTTCTTAATTAATTTATTTATTTTTTGCATATTGTGTTCATATTGCTGACCGTCAGAGACTCTGATGAAATAAATAATGCATAATTTTTTATTCGTTTAAGACGTACATTGACAACGAACAACGCCTGCGTGGATCTGGGGCGGTGTTGGCGCGATTCGGCTACAGTGTTGCGAATCCAGGGGACCTAAATAAAGACGGTTTTAATGGTAACTCCACTAATGTCAATGTGACTGCCATTATACATTTTTTATAAAAGGAAGAAAAAAAGCTCGAGTTTAAATCAAAAGTCATAATGAAACCAGGCTTAAAGGGGCCTGGACACAGTTGCATTGTCGGTTTGTTTACAATTTTAATTTTTTTAAAATAAAAAAATATCTTCAGTTAAATGAATTGAACTTACATGAAAATTCTTAAAATTCAATGACGACGACATTCTTTATAACATCACGTCAAATATCTGTGTTTGTAAACAGGGGCACGAGCTCTGTTAGTGTTAATATTTACGTTTAACCGTTTGTGTTTAATTTGTTTACTCTGCACACATCACTGAGTACTGAGTACTGACGAATTGGTTTTGCCTTCTCACATTTCTTGATTATAGTTTTAATATTTTTCATTAATACACAACAAATTTTCCACTTTCTTCGATATTACGGATAAAGTTTACTTTGTGAAAGTGCAGGGGTGTGTGTCAATCAAACGTGTCCTGAAATTCGTAGTTTTAATAATTCCAATTAAAAGAAGTTTTTAAACAAGGATTTATCATATTTCGGTGTGAAATGCTCTAGCAATATATAAGTCATGATAATATATTTAGAAAATAAGAAGAAAATATACACTTCAAATCTGTGTCGAGGCCCCTTTAATGAATGCACACAATTGTAAATATCATTCAGGAAGAAAAAAGCTGAGGTTTGTTTTTTTAGTAAAATGGGATGCAAAGTTCATCATTTATTTTATAGTTCTATAATACAAATTAAAAAGGGGATAGCTATGTATCTGTATACTATGAAGGTCAAACGTTTTCATTTAATGTATTCTGGTGCATAGACTCTATGAAATCTCTAATCAGAAGGAACGCTATGTAATTTTAAGTTCCACTGTGAAGCTTGCCTAGTGCGCCTCTGGTAAGAGAGATCGCCTTCCATGTGAGAAAGAGACCAGTAAATGTATCGACCCAAAACATAAAGACATTTTAGTAATTGTAAACGAGTGAATCAGGACTGCGTTTTTACAGATTTGGTCGTTGGGGCTCCTTATGAGGACGACAACAAAGGTGCTATTTATATCTTTAATGGAGGATCTCCCCAAATAGATGCTACATTTTCTCAACAGATCTTGGCATCAAAACTCAACACAGATCTTCGTGGATTCGGATTTTCTCTGAGCAAGTCCACAACTGATGTTGATTCTAATACATTTCTAGGTAGAGGATTGAATTGTTTTCTACTGTTATGTATTTCAATTTGATTGAAACGTTTTGTAAGATATTTACAGCAATTGATGACATTCCATGATGTAAAGATTTCATGAGAACAATGTGAAAAGAATATAAAATTAAAAGCATTTGAGATCAGCTAAAGGTGCATATGAAAGCCCCTTTCAATGAATTTCAACAAACTTTTTACGCCTTGTCTGAGGAAAGCAGCATTTTTGTTGTGTGTAATATACGCGAGAAATTAATTATCGCGTAGTTTGGCGAGAAGCACCACTCGCGAAATGAAATTATTCGCTTTTATTTCTATGGTGCTGAAATCCATTAAAAAACTCTCTTGATCAACCGTCTATACGCGAATTATTATTCTCGCGATTTGACGTTAAAAAGCCATTTTGCGATGATAAGTACTCGCAAAAAATAAGGAATCTACGGTAACTAGTAAGTTTGGAAGACAAAGACTGAAATGGTAATGTAGAGTGTACAGTATATCTACCTTTATAAGACATTATGAATCTTTTTAATGCGTTTCATTCCTATATAAAATGGATGAATTATCGACATATTTAAGAAATAAACATTGTTATTCAGTGAACATGGTATACCGGTAGTGAATATAGCAATTGTTCCACTACGATACTCAATGATGCACCCTTATCTTTTTATAATTAAATTTTTTCCCATTATTACTTCTGAACAGCATATTTATTATGTAGTCAAATGTTCCATGTGAGAGACTGCCCCAGCCTGTGCTTAGATTGAGAGCAATTGCGTTTATGAAGTCATAATTGCAAATGCTAGGTACAGGTTTATAGCGGAGAACAACAAGCGTATGCATAAAAGTCATATTTGAATTACAAGTTTATCCTGTTCAAAGATAGGTGAACTAGTGCTGTAGCCATCATAAATCACAGAAGTAGATTTCTGAACTATTGGTTTAAGTTGCTGAAACGATTAATTATTGTTAAGAAGGCACAGTGGTGAACCGGGGTGGTGTTTGGGGGGAGGGGGGTCTGAATTCAGAATGGTGAATCTTGAGTGGGTTTCACATCGGCAATGGATTAACTGTGTTTTAAGTATTCTGTACTTCACTGCAATTTCTATTTTGAGGTGAAAAAAAAGAGATCAGGAGAACTAATGAGCATCTAGTTTAAAATATTCCATTGTGGTATTGTTGTGCAGCAATGACATCTTCTCCGGCCTTTCCGGCAAGCTCGGAAAACATATGTTAGGTTGTTTTCCGAGCTTGCCGGAAAAATCCAGGAAGGTAGTTAACAAAAGCTAGTTTTTTTTTTTTTTTTTTTTTTTTTTTTTTATAATTCTAGATATTAGTCTTGGAATCATAAGATTTACGTTACTGTTACTTTTTATACAGTTATATACTGGTAAGACAGCAAAACACGAAACTTCAGATCATATGTATTTTCAGATAATGACACAAAATTGACATGGTACAGTTTTGCTACAGTTGAATTCCCAGAATGCCCTACCGTGAAGTTGAGCATGCGTATTCCAGTCAAAAAGACAAAAGTATTTGCTAGTGCTCGAGAGCGCTAGCAATAACACGTTATAACGACTAACACGCAAGTCCAAAAAAATTCCAGGTAACTTAGCTCATTATTTGGCGGATTTCCCACAAAAACCATTAGCTGTCAACCATAATTCTTTGCAAATATCGATAATGATGGACAAAAATATATGTGATTCAGGGTTTTTTTTTTCTTTTCGAGAATCGAATCGAACAAATTAAATTTCTGTGTCCTTCCCTCATAAAAAAGGTCTTCTATCTGATTTTAGGACTCTCTCACTCATTGCACCCGCAGGAGGATAAAACGTACGCTCAACAAGACCTCAGGTCACCCGCAAAAATTCCAGTGACAAGTCACTCATCATCTGAGTTAATCAATTTTGGAAACTGCCACATTTTAACACGCGAGGGTTTCAAGTGAAATAAATTTAAGTAACAAGTATAAAAATATTTTTTTTCCAAAAAGCTTTGCCGTCTTTAGCAAGAATCTTAAACAGTTAAAGCAATAAGAGCTGCAACTTCGATATCGGAAATATATCTGTTGCAAAATTGTACTTAACTATTTCAATGACAGAAAAAAAGAAGGTTTATAAAATTCTGTTGTTCATATTTGCGATGGAAGAACTATTTACTAATAGAAGCTTCGATTGAAGCAAAATTACGTTATTGTCGTCCTGTACAATATTATTTTCTTAATATGTAATATTATATACATGTATTCCATTGTACAGAAATCTTTCTTCTGAATAAAAATTAATACTTTATGTTAGACTGATATATCTCATAACAGCACATTTTAACAGCAAAATAAAATTCTCAGAATGCAGCACATATATACAAAATCAGGCTGTATTATTATAGGCTTTGTATCTTTTCAGCAGAATTTCATAGACATACTGTAAATCAACTTTCATTCGCGTGCGAGAAATATCCACGAGTTTTGCGACCAACTTTAACTCGCGAATATTAATCGTTGCGAACTATTTAATTTGCTTTGTATTTGTAGATAATGCTTCCTTAGTTGCGAAAATTAATCGCCGCGGATTGATTTCAAACTGAAGAATCGCGAATAAAAGATGACGCGAATAATAATTGGTTTACAGTAAGCCCTACAATATAAAACATAAAACAAAGATGAATAGCACAAATTTTAATGTTCGCATGCAACAAAGAGTGTTTCTGTTAACCAGGAAAATATATAAAACAATTGTTAATAGTTGATGTAAAAAATTAAAGTGTCCGTTTTATTTATTGCAATTTTCTTTAGTTTGTTTTGTCGACTTTTTAGAGTTTAAAAATCTTCAAAAAAATGTTAAGTCCTACGAAAATTGGATCAACAGAAAATCATCTCCCTTGCCTTGAACTATATTTTTACCAATAAAAGAATTGAAATTTTCACATCATGCAATTTCTATAAATTACAGAAGAGAGGAAGTGCGTAGTCTCCAGAGAATTTAAAATACTTCAACTCTGTAAATACATACATGTACCTTCTTCCAAGGAAGACGGTAATAATTTGAACAGCCACTCAAGTTATATGAATAGAATTTAATTCCTGCTTTAAAAAAAAAGATTTGAAGAAGACGAGAAAAATTTGATCATTACTCGGGTTGTTACACAAGGACGCCTGTTTGTTTGTTTTTTTTTTTTTTTCTTGGCAAAACTTACCTGTAATTGTCATAGCCCTACCTTTGGTGCGACGAATGCGCATGAAAAAAATAATTGCAAAGCGAAGGTTCTCTTTGACAAGCATTTAATCCTTTTTATGGGATACAAAGACGATATGCGTTTAAAAAACATTTTAGTAGATGTATACAAACTACTTTTAAAAAATATTATTGTTCTTTTTTGTGCAGATATTTCGGTGGGATCTCTCCTGTCTTCAAATGCTGTTGTTCTCCGAACGCAATCTATCGCCAACATCACTGTGACTCTGACGCTGAATCCAGTTAAAATCCCATTGAATTCAACAGGACTTGCATGCAGAGGAAATAACGATAATCCATGTACTTCCGTTCATATTTGTTTTAGCTACACTGGGGACGGACTAAATAACGGAATTTGTAAGTTCAAGGTTTTTTTATGAATAGGGGAAGAAAAACAAGACAATGTGTAATAAAAGTGATATGGTCCCTACTTTTGTATGCATACAAATTATATGTCAGTTAATGGTTCAGATTTCTTAAAAACATTTTTTGAAGAAAATTGAATATAATTTCTCCTCGTATGTTGAAGAACATGCATTCTTATTCCAATAGGTAGGTAAACGAATTCATCATAGAAAGACTTGAATGTCCGATACTTTCGACGAATAGATGAAACTTGATGGATGACCAACTTTTGGGGGGGGGGGGGATGAATTCTGTTTTATCCTGGAATGTATGGTGTTCCTTACGCATTTTTTTTGCCTACATACATGGCAAACCCGAAAGGAGCAGTTAATTTCAGTTGGGGGGGGGGGGCAGGGGGGCAACCAAACATAACATATTGAATTATTTTGCAACGTATTGGAGGAGGTATTTCAGGAATAAAGGTCAGTCTTTCCTGGAAAAAAGAAAATAATTCATTAACGAGTCTAAATAGTGTCATTCAAAAGTTCATACTTCGACCAGGTTAGCTTTCAATGATTGATTGCGCTGATATGTGTATGTCACTAGAATTAAGGAAGTTTGGTATCAGTGGTAATAAGAACGCATGCGGAAAACGCTTTGCATTTAAATAAAATACATGAAGCAATTATTATATTGAATTGAATAGGGCTGGGACGATACAACATTTTCTATATCGATACGTATCACGATATTTTAGCCACGATACGATATGTGTATGATATGTTGAATTGGTTATAAAATCTTTTTTTTGTATTGAAATGAACAAAACAAGAATAAGTTATTCAAAGAAGTTGTAAATCTGTTGTAAATCAATGTTATTTTACACAAATGGTGTTAATTATTATGTATTTCATATTTATATTTAGCATATTTATTTTATACATTAAACCCAAAATGTTAAGCATGCAAAGAAAAACATTCGTCAGAAATTTTTTTGCAATAATTCGATATTTCATCATACGTATCGAAATGCGTATCGTCCTCACATAGCATCGATATTATCGATATCTCGATATATCTTCCCAGCCCTAGAATTGAACTCTGGCCCTAGTTCTGAGTGACATGTTCAATGCATGTACATTAAAAACGCTTATAACGAAGTGCCAGGGACGGACGATTCTGACTCGTTATAAACGTAATTCGTTATATATCTGTTAAGTTCACAATATGCAATGTATTTCAAAGCCATTGGGAATGAAAATCACTTCGCAGTAAGCGTCAATTCATTATTAAAGTGTTCGCTATAAGCGTGTTTCACTGTACATGCTTCTTTTTTTTTAGACATCGACTACACACTGACCGCGGATTCAGATCAAAGTGATCTTAACTATCGCCGCTTTACGTTTTACATGAATAATATGGATAGAGGGAAAATTTACAGAAAAGTGGAACTCTTCATCCGCAGTGGTGTGAATCAGTGCGAAACTTTTCACGCAAGAGCAGCTGTAAGAATACCAATTCTTTAATGCTTTATAGAGAGTTACTTCTTGCAACTTGATTGCAGCATTTTCTTACATTATTAGTTTACCTACAGCTGTAGGAAATGTATACTATATATTGAAGTTGCTCGACGGCGTTTGCGCTCGTAACCCATCTTTATGATATAATTTATGACAGTTTTATTTTAAACTTTCAGTGTGAAAAGCGTATAATTTTTGCACATATCCTTTGAATGTTTTTACATTTCACTTAATCAAAAAATATTTATAAAAAGAAAAGCAATTGTGAAAAGAGGAAAAAATTGAAATGTTGCAGATGACGGACAGGAATTTTTTCTCACGGGTCAACGATGATCCCGTGTTTGACTTGACTTACCAAATCAGCAACAGATCGGCGGCAGGCGAGGTGAAGCCTGTATTGGACAGAAACCAGGCATCAGACACTAATATCACGGTAGGTAGATATCAGACATTAATATCACGGTAGGTAGTTTTCAGACATTATTATCACGGTAGGTAGTTTTCAGACATTAATATCACGGGAGGTAGAAATCAGACACTAATATCACGGTAGGTAGATTGCTAAGACGTGGGCGAAAATTTCCCATGAGGCCTAAAATAAAATATTGTTTGTTTGTAGTTGCCTACTGACCCTTTTAAAAAGCACCCGATCCCAAAAATTTTTTAGCCATTTTCTGAGATTTTTTTTTCAGGATATTGAAACTAGTTCATTTTCTCCTTTTTATTTTTGTTGTTATCAATCAGTGGCTTGTACCGGTATTATTAAGTGGAGCTTATTTACGTTTAGTAACCCTATGAAAATCTCTATGATAAAACCTACCTACCTACCCACTCGTAAAATTATGGGTCGGCAACTGCAAACAAAGAATTTTTTAAGCTAGGCCTGATAAAATTGATTTAATCTTAAGTTAGATGAAGATAAAACAACCACAAGTTTGGCTTTTCAGAAAACCTGAAATCCTATCTCGTTGGTTTCAATAAAGTCACAGAATAAAATGTGGAATGTATAATTATAATATTTTTCAGCCATTTTAAGCTGCCATGAGATAAAAATCTATTTATTTTAAATAAAGGTTTATGAGTACAATTTTTAAAAATGCAACAATGTCTTTAAAAAAATTACCCAGCCATTCTTTACAAAAACGAATACACAATTGTTCTTCCAGAAGGCAGCCATAAACCCAACGTTCATTTAGTCTTTTTTAAGAGCCGCTAACTCTGATATCCACAAAGAAGTTTTACAGCGATAAAAAAATTTTCAGTGGCTATTCAAAGCGTTTTTCGTAATTCTATCCTCCAAAGTATTAGTAACTTGGGCAATGAACCACTAGGGATATCGAAGGGGTAGAACTGAGACACTCCTGCATGCATCATACCCTTCTGCTGCCCAGTCTCAGGTTTTGATGCTATCTATCACTGTTATTCATAGAAGTAGGTGTACACAATACTGCTTACATGTATGTCTAGAAAATAGTATGGTAAGTGAAAAGGCCAACAACGAAAATTTCTTGACATGCACATGGACATTACCTATTTTAATTTATATCTATCGAAATTAACAATCTTAAATTTCAAATAGACTAGTGCAAATTGGGTACAGTGAATTAATGTTCACATGCGTTTTGAAATAAGTAAATAATAAAATTTAGACATGTTATTAAATAAGATTAAGTATTCGAAAATTATCTGTAAAAGAATCCCTATCTAAACCATACTTTTTTTAAAGACTGTTCCAGGAAGCAAGGATATGTAATAATTTTGGAATTATTTCAGGAAAAGAGCAGTGAAAGTATGATTTTCTTCATCATAGCAAAACAAAAATTGCTGTAAAAACAGATTACACGATGGGCAAATGGGAGGGGAAAAAATGCTGACGCACGGCGTTAAACATTTCACCGGTACTACTTCAAGAAAGTTATAAATATAATGCAAGCGTCATTCTTCTTGGTTTGTAACCTCTCACTCTTCCTCCTTGGTCTGTCACCTCTCACTCTTCCTCCTTGGTCTGTAACCTCTCACTCTTCCTCTTTGGTCTGTAACCTCTCACTCTTCCTCCTTGGTCTGTAACCTCTCACTCTTCCTCTTTGGTCTGTAACCTCTCACTCTTCCTCAATGGTCTATATCCTCTCACTCTTCCTCCTTGGACTGTTGCCTCTCACTCTTCCTCCTTGGTCTATATCCTCTCACTCTTCCTCCTTGGTCTGTAACCTCTCACTCTTCCTCCTTGGTCTGTCACCTCTCATTCTTCCTCCTTGGTCTATAACCTCTCACTCTTCCTCCTTGGTCTGTCACCTCTCACTCTTCCTCCTTGGTCTGTAACCTCGCACTCTTCCTCCTTGGTCTGTTACCTCTCACTCTTCCTCCTTGGTCTGTAGCCTCTCACTCTTCCTCCTTGGTCTGTAACCTCTCACTCTTCCTCCTTGGTCTGTTACCTCTCACTCTTCCTCCTTGATCTGTAGCCTCTCACTCTTCCTCCTTGGTCTGTCACCTCTCACTCTTCCTCCTTGGTCTGTAGCCTCTCACTCTTCCTCCTTGGTCTATATCCTCTCACTCTTCCTCTTTGGTCTGTAACCTCTCACTCTTCCTCATTGGTCTATATCCTCTCACTCTTCCTCCTTAGTCTGTCACCTCTCACTCTTCCTCATTGGTCTATATCCTCTCACTCTTCCTCCTTGGTCTATATCCCCTCACTCTTCCTTGCTTTATAACCTTTCACTCTTCCTCCTTGGTCTTTAACTTCTCACTCTTCCTCCTTGATCTATCACTTGCAGAGGAATTATAATCAAATTACTAAGCAATAGGACTGATTATGATGTAATCCACGAGAGACCTGGAAACATCGCTGACTACCCCATACTCAAATAGGGTGTATTAGATGAAGCAGATACCAGGGTCTGAGTTCTGGATGGTGCTAACCCCTGTATGATAAGTGGTGGAGAATCCAGGTACCGATCCAGTTATCATTCAAAGTATAATTAATTTAAAATATTATTAGTTGTTTAGTAGTAATCCGTAAATTCTGAGCCAGAGGAAAATACAAATGTATCTCTTTTCTCTCAAAGTTTAGGTAACACTCTTGCACAATTTTGTAAATAAGAAATTCAGTTTTAAAAAATGACATTTATGAAAACAACCTTTATGATTCTTGATGATTTTCATTCCAACACCTGAGGAATATAACAGGAATATGACAGTTGCTTGTGATTTTAAGTTCTAAAAATACTTTTGCTGAATTTTCTTTAATTTTGCACAAAGCATTGATTATGAAATCGATTTTCTTATTCATAGTTCATAAGAGAAGAGACATAATTTGTCGAAATGCGCATCTGGTGTATCAAAATTGGTACCGTATATGATTTACATTATGACTCCTGGGTCGAGGCCTCTACTGCTGGTGGACTGTTAGTCCCCGAAGGTCTCTACAGCCCAGTAACCTAGTACTTCGGTACTAGCTTGAAAATATGGATATATATTTAATCGCTGTGGTAATATAAAAAAAAAATATTTCAAAATTAAGGATTATCTCCCTCATGCATAGCTCTGATCCTTTGACGTATTTGGCTCCAGTCTTTGGCACCTTTTTTCAGCTCTTCAAATTCTTTTTATTTAAATATTTTGGATTCCCAACCTTTCGGCTTGAGCATGAATGAAGAGACATAATTTGTCGAAATGCGCATCTGGTGCATCAAACTTGGTACCGTATATGATTAACTTCATAAAAATAATGTTTTTTGCCGTTAATTCAAATAATAATAAGAGCCCCATGGGCCAAAATGCTCACCGAGTCACTATGGTCCTACTGTTCTACATCCCATTGCATACAGTATATAGTATATATATTCCTATGTAAAATTTTGATCGCCTGTTGTGAGTGTACCTTCACAAGTCGGGACGTCTATCTCCCCAAGGAAGATGGCAATAAAGTATGATTATTGATTTTCTTCTTCTTCTTCATTTTTTGGTTATTTTAAACAGGGTGAGTTCCGAACGGAATGTGACCCCGAGTGTAAACCAGACCTGGAAATCACTGGACGTCCACTGAGATCCTCGATCACTGTGGGACGCACGCAGGAACTTGAAGTTGAACTTCTCGTCATCAATTTGGGAGACCCGGCGTATGCAAATGGTGCCTCATTTTTGGTATCCAACGAAGTGAACGTTCCTTTAACAAATTACGAAGTTTTGTTAAAGCAAGGCTCAGAGCAAATAACTTGTAGGTCAGCAACAAACGGAACGAGTTGTTCGTTTGATTCTTCGCCGCTTTATCCACAACAGAGGGGCTTGGTCCGCCTCCGATATGACGTTTCAGTTGCTCGATTATTAGAAAAGGGATTACGAAATCTTCCTGCGAAGATCCAGATTACATGTACAGCAGATGTATCTGGAGACATTAATCCCAGCAATAATGTAATTCAGATGAGCACGGATCTGCAACTGGAGGCAACGATACAGATAATAGGGTAAGAACTGGGAGACAACTCAGGGATGACGTACCTTTCGGGTTAATAAATCGAAAATAAGATCCTTGAATAAACTAGCGGATATAAAAACAATTATAAAACAATGATTAATTAGAATCAAAGCATCGCCATCAATACATTAATACACGTATTTGGTACATGATCTCGAGTACATACACATGATTAAATATTTTATTATTATCTGTTCTGTTTCTCGTATAAAGTTCATCGTCACCTGACCAAGTGAGAATGACTCCACAGAAACGCTCCAAACTCTTACTGAACCAGACTTACTCGATCAGTACACTAGGCCCAAGTCCATTACCGGAAGTGAAGGTCATGTTCAGTATTCCGGTAATCGCAAACGGCAAAGTGATTGTGCCCGAGTCAGAACTCAAAGTACGGAAAAGTGTTGATATTTTTTATGATCTTTTAAAATATCTATGGATATTAGTGTACATTTTTACATTACTTTTAATGTTTACAATATTCTTTATTAGGAAAACATAAGGTAGTGATTATATATATATATATATATATATATATATATATATATATATATATATATATATATATATATATATATATATATATATATATATATCCAAAAAATGAAAAGAAATATCACAGTGTCCGGTAATTAATATGAAAATTAAAAATAACAAGGCAACAATGTTAGTAAAACGTAAGCGCTTTCATTATACTTCTTCAGACGTTTTACAATTCAAAACAATTCAAACATGTGACGTTATAACGCTACCTGATGATAACGTCAACAACAATGCAATGACGTCACAATGCTTATAGAGGAAACAATTATAGAGTCTAAGTAAAATTACTTTGTTCATTAATAGCGTAATAAATAATAAAGTCATGAAACAGTCTATATTAAACTATTTAAGGACGGTTTAAAAATCTTGATGAAATGTTTTTCTTTTTCCCGTCTTTCTAAAAGATTTTCTGTTTTGAGTTTATAAAAGGGATAAACTGAGAATTGTCCCTGTCCACAAACAGCAAGATGTTCACTGAGTTTTATTTTTCTGTACTCGGGTTGGTTGATATGTTGTCTATGTATGCGTATACGAGTGCGTAGTGTGGTCCCCGTTTCTCCTATGTATAATTGTCCGCATCCAGTGCATGTTATACAATAAATAACGTTTTTAGATGCACAGGTCATATCTGCATTGATAGTAAATTCTTTATTTCCGAGTGTAAAAGTACTTCCCTCTTTAATATACTGGCAGGTTCCACAACGTGAATCAGAGCATTTATTGACCACATACAAATTCCGTTGGTGAAATGTAGATTTACACAATATTCTTCGGAGGTTTTTAGGTTGTCTTTTACTGTTGATGAATTTATATTTTTCCAGTACTTTGGACATTTTCTCATCCGTCTGTAGAATGTTGTTGAGGTGACGCACTGTAGAGGTTATATTCCTGTTCTTTGGATTGTATGTAGTTACAAGCGGTAATATTGCAGAATCTGATGTGTCACTTTTTGAAGAATTAATAAGTTTATCTCTGTCGATTTCTATAGCCTTTTTGATTCCGTCCTCAATGATTCCAAGAGGATAGCATTGTTCAAGCAGATATTTTTTTAATTCATTCAGACGTTCATCTCTTTTTTTTCTTGTCGCTAACAATAGTGCAGATTCTTCTAGCTAAATTGTAAGGGATTGAACGTTTCGTATGACTTGGATGACAGGAACTGAAATGGAGATATTGATGTGTGTCTGTCGGTTTGTAGTATATGTCTGTCGAAATACATTCTCCATGCTTTGCTATAAGGACGTCCAAAAACGGAATGCTTTGTAAACTTTCGTCCATTGTGAAGTTGATGTCAGGATCTAGATCGTTTATAATATTTAGGTAAACTGCTAGATTCGCATCGCTGTCATTCCAAATGATAAAACAATCGTCAAGGTATCTTTTCCAATTGTTCTTTATATTTTCTGAAGTCTGTTGGTCAAAGTACTGAGTAGTTTTTTCATACATCCTCTCCTCTAGATATCCTAGTGTAAGGGTGGCATAAGTAGGGGCCATCTTTGTACCCATTGCCGTTCCTTTCTTTTGTGCATAATGTTTGTCGTTAAAAGAGAAAGTATTATTTTCCAATACTATTTTACTAGCCTCTAAGATGAAGTCTTTGCTGAAACGCTCATTAATTTTTTGTGGATATTTATCAATCCAGTACTCGAGCGCCTTGACACCAAGAGAAGTAGTAATATTAGTGTACAAATTAGTAACATCCATTGTGACTAGCTTGGCATCATGACTAACTTTTTCAGGAAGATGTTTCAGGAAATCTAGATCATCCCGAACATAACTTTTTACTTCTAAACATAAAGGTTTCAGTAATATGTCCATAAGATGACTCAGCCTTTGTGTTGGAGCTTTTGGTCCACCCACGATAGGTCTAAATGTAAGATCCTCTGGATCGCTACATGTAATGTATGCAGAGTTTTGTATTTTGATCGCTTCCTTAATTATTTTAGATTTGTGTATCTTAGGAAGTCCATAAAAGGCACTTTCTCTAAAATCAAAATTAGTCAAAAAGTCCTCTTCTTTGGCTGTTAAAAAGGAAGTTGTATTGTGGTTTTTTATTAAGTTTTTAATTTTTCGCATTGTCTTTTTATCACTGTTCTCTGATATTTCATCGTAAAACTCGCTGTTATTGAGCATTTGTAATATTTTTGTTTTGTAAAATTCTGCGTTCATAACTACTACTGCTCCACCCTTGTCTGCTTCTTTGATTACGATTGAACTGTCGTTTGACAATGATTGAACAGCCTTTTCCTCTTCTTTTCGTAAATTATTTCTTGTGTTATTTTTTTCATTATTTAGAGGTATATTTTGCAGAGTATTACAAACGGTGTCAAGGAGACTGTTCCTTCCTTTCTTTGGATTAAAATTTGATTTGTTCCTAACAAGATCACCTTCAGACGTGTTTTCGTCTTCGTCATCATTATGAAAATACTCTGCTAGTCTTAATTTTCTTGTATATTCCTTGATATCCTTAGATTATTCCTGAAGATTAGAGTCACTTGGTGTTGGTGTAAATTTTAATCCTTTTGACAGTAATTTTATTTCAGCCGCGTTTAATGGCCTACTTGACAGGTTTATCACTTTTGGGTCTATGGTTCCCAATTTTTCCTCTGTCCTTGTGGGTATTGGTATTGCTGAAATCTTTGACCTTGGCTCTGTTTGCCTCCTCCTAAAAAATAATGTGAAGATTTCTTTCCAATGTAAGTTGTACCATTTCTTCTGAATAAGTTTCCAGAAGGATTGAAGAACTTCATAGGTCCCTGTCCAGGATTTCTGTTTCTAAATGATTGTTTTTCTGTTGAATATCTTCCCCGAGATTGGTGGAATTTGTTCTTGTTATACCTCATTGTTGAAGGATTATTTTCTCGATGCTGCATCTTCCATGTTTTTCTCCAATACATAGTATCGGGAATTTGAAACGAACTCCTGTTAATTTGTTGAGTGGTTTCCTTGTTACTAGATATGTTTTTCGGTCTACTGACTGCTTCAGCATAGCTTAATTCCTGTTGTCTTGAGTTAGTTGCTTGTAGTGTTTTCTCTTTGTTATTTTTTGTTGTAGACTCTTTATGAAGTCTTTCCTTAATAACTCCGTTTCCGTATTTTCTTACGTAATCAAGTAGCCAAATTTCCTTGTATCGCCATCTATCAAGTGATTTCTTTTCTTCTTTTTCGCAATCTGATTTCCAAATACTTAGAAGAATTTCTAAGACTCTACCCGTTGCTTTTGTTTTTAATGCTGTATTCATTTGCTCATCAATGTTAATTACATTTTGTTGAGAGATACTTGATCTCATGCGTAGTAATTCTATTTCACCTTTGACTCTCTCTACAGCAACGTTGACTCGAACTTTTGTTTGTTCCTCGGGCTCTCCGCGAATGCTTGTAATCTAGCAGTTTACCTAAATATTATAAACGATCTAGATCCTGACATCAACTTCACAATGGACGAAAGTTTACAAAGCATTCCGTTTTTGGACGTCCTTATAGCAAAGCATGGAGAATGTATTTCGACAGACATATACTACAAACCGACAGACACACATCAATATCTCCATTTCAGTTCCTGTCATCCAAGTCATACGAAACGTTCAATCCCTTACAATTTAGCTAGAAGAATCTGCACTATTGTTAGCGACAAGAAAAAAAGAGATGAACGTCTGAATGAATTAAAAAAATATCTGCTTGAACAATGCTATCCTCTTGGAATCATTGAGGACGGAATCAAAAAGGCTATAGAAATCGACAGAGATAAACTTATTAATTCTTCAAAAAGTGACACATCAGATTCTGCAATATTACCGCTTGTAACTACATACAATCCAAAGAACAGGAATATAACCTCTACAGTGCGTCACCTCAACAACATTCTACAGACGGATGAGAAAATGTCCAAAGTACTGGAAAAATATAAATTCATCAACAGTAAAAGACAACCTAAAAACCTCCGAAGAATATTGTGTAAATCTACATTTCACCAACGGAATTTGTATGTGGTCAATAAATGCTCTGATTCACGTTGTGGAACCTGCCAGTACATTAAAGAGGGAAGTACTTTTACACTCGGAAATAAAGAATTTACTATCAATGCAGATATGACCTGTGCATCTAAAAACGTTATTTATTGTATAACATGCACTGGATGCGGACAATTATACATAGGAGAAACGGGGACCACACTACGCACTCGTATACGCATACATAGACAACATATCAACCAACCCGAGTACAGAAAAATAAAACTCAGTGAACATCTTGCTGTTTGTGGACAGGGACAATTCTCAGTTTATCCCTTTTATAAACTCAAAACAGAAAATCTTTTAGAAAGACGGGAAAAAGAAAAACATTTCATCAAGATTTTTAAACCGTCCTTAAATAGTTTAATATAGACTGTTTCATGACTTTATTATTTATTACGCTATTAATGAACAAAGTAATTTTACTTAGACTCTATAATTGTTTCCTCTATAAGCATTGTGACGTTATTGCATTGTTGTTGACGTTATCATCAGGTAGCGTTATAACGTCACATGTTTGAATTGTTTTGAATTGTAAAACGTCTGAAGAAGTATAATGAAAGCGCTTACGTTTTACTAACATTGTTGCCTTGTTATTTTTAATTTTCATATATATATATATATATACATATATATATATGTATATATATATATATATATATATGTATGTATAGTTGATTGATTTGTTATAATTTTATTTGACATTGGAGTATTTTTTTCATTTTTGATTTTTAACCTCGTTTTACAATAACAAGGTTATTGTAAAACGAGGTTAAAAATCAAAAATGAAAAAAATACTCCAATGTCAAATAAAATTATAACAAATCAATCAAGTTGGAAGTAAGTTGGAATTTTTTTTATGTTCAGGTGACAGCGTTTACTCCCACTGACAAATGCGATATGACGGCCTTCCCAGCACTCGGTGCTGTGACGTCATCACCCTCAGTCGGACAGCCTAATGTGATCAACTTAGAAAATTCTCTACCTTTGGTGAGTTGATCCATGCACATTTTCTTGGAAGTTTTATCTATGTTATTTACACTCAAGCACGAATCTGCTGAGGGAGGAAGGGAAGGGGTCCCATGGAATTTTCAGAGTTTTGAAATTGTATGGTGCAGATAGGAAAAGATGCTCCCTAGGAAAACCGTGAAAATGGCAAGGAGAGCCAATAAAATATATTAGGGAACGCGACGTGTCCTTCACTCTTTACACTCAAACCTCACACCAACCCCTTCCCCAACGAAATTTTATAACTAAAATTCTGACATGTTGACAAAATTAAACCGAATAAAAAGACATGGATATTTTTCACCATTTCAAACAATTATAAAGATAATGTAACCAGTACAATAATTAATAGTATTAAAGAAGTATTTTGTGTGAGTACAAGTAAATAATAATATGTTCCTATTTTTAGGGATTTGGAGAGAGCGGTGTAGCGTGTGCCATATACGAATGCGTAATTACTGAATTAACACTTGAAAGCCAGCACAGTTTCATCATCAATGGCAACATTTCCGAAGAAAACGTCCTAGAATTCCAAGCGGTATGGATCAACCATATAACCGATATAAGATCAACAAAACAACACGCGATAACTTGTATCCTTCTGTAAACAAGGTGGATTCTAAATGAAACTCTGAAAATTCTAATACTAGATACTACATGTACAAGGAGATTAGATTTTTTTTTATTACTGTTTACAGAGATGATGTTGTTTAATGATAATAATGTTTCGGACATTTTTTTTATTATGGATACTAGATAAATACAAAATTCTTTAATATACTGTAAACAAAATCGATTTCTTTTTAAATTAACAGTGCATTGATAATGGATAACGAGTATTTTTTTTAGAATCACTTAGATGCTGCGTTATATATACTCTACACTAAATTAATGTATACATACTCTTTTTTCCATCAGAAATCATTCACTATATTGGTATTGGACTAAGTAATTAAATAAGAATAAATTTTGTATACACCAAAGCTATAGGTTGAATCATATTTTGCTGCACCATCTACATGTAGCACTATGCATATTAAAAATACTTTTTATGAAAGGTATTTCAATTGATAGACTTTTTTTATAATTACTTTCCTTTGTTGGAACTCTTTAGAAATGAAAACAAATTTTAATGCCTTAGGGACATGGCTAATAATTGCAGTAAAGCAAATTGCGAATTATTATTATGCATTTAATAATTTCAAAGTAATGAAATACAACCACAGTATTATTTTTTTATTTAGTAATTTTACTAAAACATTAACTTTTTTGACAATCTATTACAAATACGGTAAAATATTGTACAGAACATCAAATATTTAACTTTACGAGCATTGCCTACTGTTGAATCAATGCTAAATAACAATTATAATAAAAGTAATTTTCCTCTTTAGAAACAACGCAAATAGTTTTTGATACATTTCTCTTCTCCTACTTAGCCTTCTCTTTGTGCTCTCTTTTAAAGAAGAGTTCTTATAAGGGATGTAATTTGCTTTAATTTGAAAGAAAAGTGAATTTGTGTATAAGGAGGTAAGGAACAAGGAAAACATATGTATATATATTTTTCTTTTTGATATTTCAGGGCATTAGTCAGATTCTGTACTATACAACAGGAGTTGTCTACTCCTCAGAAACATTAGAAATTCCCCTTAATTTGACCTCCAATGCTATCTTCTCAGTAAGTATCCAATCAAATTTCAATTTTAAACTTCTAAGATCTGCACCATAAACTGTGTTTATTGAAGTTTACTAATCTCTCAGATCAAGTTAAATTTGTTTATATATATATATATATATATATATATATATATATATATATATATATATATATATATATATATATATATATATATATATAATCGGATGAAATAAGAGATGTTATACTTTCAAAGCAAACTTACAGGTCAGGTGACTTTAGTGTTTGGAATATTTAATGATTAGGTACCCTTTCGGTTCGGTGAAGGTCACTGAAAGTATTTAATATGTACATGTACATGTAATTGTGAATATCAATTAAGCACCATGAAGGTTAACTTTATTAATCATTGACCCTCTGAAAAGAAAGATCTCTCTCAAATGGATATATGAAAATAAATATTTAAGAGTATTCCAAGGTATGCATATGTCACAATCGCCTGCTTTATTGCTTCATTAAAAGATTAAATAAATCTAAGACTGGTCTAGTGGACTATGCTACTTACATTATATATACATAAATTTTTATCATGTTAATTTTTCATAAAAAAATTTAAAGAAATACACGCTTTATAAATAAACGCCGCTTTTTATGTGAAACAAAATGATTAAATGGTTTGAGAAACATGCTTTAGTTAATGAAAAAATAATACTTTCCACTAAATACATGTAAGTCGTTGTAATTACAAAACAATTAAGCAAGATCTGCAATTAAAAATTCAGTCTTTTCATGAATATTGATGAAGGAAGTGCGTAAAAAGTATATATATATATATATATATATATATATATAGACACGCATGTCCGCGGGAAATCATAGACGATGAGGTACGTTGCATTTTGACTACGATTATTTATATTTACATTTGCAAATGTTTTCTTTTATATAACACTATTAAAAGCAATGCGTATCTATATCCGTATAAACACGGGTTCCTCGCGTCATAAACGTTCGACGTAATTTCTCAGTGACGTCATAAAAGGTCGACGCGCAACGGATCAAATACGTGCCGTTGGGTTTGAAAAATAAAACATTTCACGCGTTCAAGATTATAATCAGGAAAACATAAAATAAGAATAAGTCACAAATGTAAATATAAGTAATAATGTATCATTTTAAAACATGTATCGGATATAAATACGGGTTGGTACGAGATCAAATTTACCATAAAGCCCTTCGGGCTTTATGGAATTTGATCTCGTGACCAACCCGTATTTATATCCCGATAGATGTGAATGAAATATATGAATGAAAGGTTAATATATGAAAGGTTAATATGAATGAAAGGTGAATATATGAATGAAAGGTTAATATCTGTCATAACAGAGTAGATGGTTAATACTGGTTGCTTTTAAACATACGTATCTGTAATGGATAAATAACGAGATAGTGTTGAATAGTTTAGAGGAGGGCCGAAGGCCCGAGGAGGGGATGTTTTCTCTAAACTATTCAACACTATCGAGTTATTTATCTTACTTAAAAAACTTCCCTACTGTGGACACCAAAGAAACATTTACCCATTCATATATCCAACTTTGCTGTAATACAATAGGATCTAGACCATTTAGATATCCAACAGTGACACAATACAATAGCCTAATCGAACACCCTTTTATTCATGGACTAGTGAGCATGAAACTGCATGGTGTTAATGTCATTTCAAACCTTTCCATTGTATACTGAACAATCACAAAATCAGATGAAGAATAGTTTTAAATCCAAAGTAAAATTAGAGCGGTTCAGATAGTGTTCTGAATACTTTTGACCTGAAAGCAGAAGAAAACTACAGAATTTTGATAAAAGGTTGGAAATTTATCATTACATATAAGATGATGATTTGTTGGGGAAAAATGTTTGAATCTTATGGAGTTCCACTCGGACAATACTTCTAGTAGTGCTAAAACAGATGAAAAGATTGTCGGTGTTATGCGGAACCTGCTTTAAAAATATTCCATATCAAGATCTGCAATAAAAAAGGTATCAAAAATAGATGGGCTGTCAGTTTATCAAATTGTTTTGGGAAGTATGCTGGAAAAGTATGAGAACAGAGATGAACCTCGAATAATCTGTGAGGATTTGCTGATAACGGACCCCTGAAATAATATGCAGCAACAGGAAGTGATGTGGTTTAAGGTTCAAGGTGAAAATGTATTTAAAAGCGTGTCAAAATGTGATACTTTCAAAATTTAAGACAGGAAACATTCTGTTAAAAAACCATGGATAAGTATTGGATATTTTATTGACGACAAGAGTCTAACAGTGTGCAAATTCGGAGGAATTGTAATTTTTGTGAGATTGGAAGTACATTTTTAACACGATTCTAATGGTGTGATAAATGCAGAGTGATTAATTCTGTGTGCATTGGACAAATTCTAATAGTGTGACAAACTCGGAGTAATTGTTTTTTATTTGCATTGGAAATACATTTTAAACTCTTTTATCTCTTTTTTTCATTGCTTAATTATGTTTGTATGCACAGTTGGATATTTAAATATCCAACCGATGGGCAGTTGGATATTTGAATATCCAACTGATGGCCAGTTGGATCTTTAAATATCCAACTAGTGCTGGTTGAATCGGTAAGATATACGTAGACTAATAACAATGGGTGACGTCATTGAAGTTTTTTAATTATGTTTTAGACGTTTGCCATTCATGTCAAAAGTTATTTGTATACAACGGCCTACCTCGTTTTCTTGACGCCATTTTTGTTTATCAGTCTAATAGTAGCGACGGTGTAACGTGATGCATTAATTTAAAGACGTACAACACACTGGGGGAGATAACTCTTCCGATTTCAATTAAAAGTTTAACGACGTTAAATATGACGTTTATAATAAAGCGTCAAAATTACGACCGAATCGATCCCGACGTAATTATAAGACAAGAAGCCCAAGGGCCTTAACGGTCACCTGAGTATGATACAACAATTTAAAGGATGCATAGAGTATAAAATGAACTGAAAGGTGAAGCTTTATTGCCCAAAAGCAAGAAAAATAGGGTGATCATGATCAACAAAATAATTGGTCTTAATATTCATTAACAGTTCATAAATTAGGTTCTAATCTGTTCCCCATTTATTACTATCACCTTAAAACATATTAACAATTTATCAATGCTTCTGTACTATTATAATCCCTTGTTGAATTCTCTTACATTGGCCTCTCTTGGTCTTTGATGAACATTTAATAAGACAAGTTATTTTTGTCTCATTTTTATTTATCTACTACTTACAAGTCTATCTGATTATTTAAACAATGAAAGTACTTTTTGTATTATACAATAAAAGTTTTTGCATAATTTTCTTATTCTATTTACCTTTCAAGTACATTATTTACAGTGATAAATTATCAAAAGTAAATGGCAAAGGGGAATAACTCCTCTCAGTAGAATACAAACTAATAGAGCCCTGGCCAGGACCAGAACACTTGACCAAATGGTCCAGATGTTAAAAAATCTGGTAAAAATTCCCTTCCTTATAAAAACTTTTACTCTGTTTTCCTCAGATATGCCCAGGTGCGGAGAAGATTTTTAAAGAAGTAATGCATTTTTACTACAGATTCACTATATTATCAATAGAGCCCCCCCCCCCCCCCCCGAAACACCAGAGCTTCTGATCCTGGGACCGTAAGTTTGTTCATCATAACTAATCACTTTGTTTATCTGCTTGACACTAAGGAGCAAACAGGATTATTTAACATATTAATGCATTTTCACTACAGTGTATATTATCAAGAGCCCCACACTCACACCAACACATCTGACCCAGGGGCCATGAAATTCACTACTCTGGAAGCAGGGTTCGACACTAACTTTTTAAGGCTTTAGTCCAGCCGGACTAGTGCTTCATTACTTTTACTAGTCCGCACGCGATTTTATTAGTCCGTCAAAAAAAAAGAAACATCAATGTTTTTAACATTAATTGAACGGGACAATTAATATACATATTATTTTTTGAAATAAACAAAGTATTTACGTGAAATATATTATTCCACAGATTCATTGAAATCTCGCAATCGGCAAGTACGATCGTATTCCCGATCTCGTTTTTTTTTTTTTTTTTTTTTTTTTTTTTTTGTCTTTACATTACATCCAAAACGTCCAACATCTTTCTTAAAAGTGTCATACTAAATCATGATCGCTAAAACCTTATACTTCATATCAATCAGTCCAAAAATTAAGCGCTTAATTGACCCGGCATTGCGTAACTACCCGCCAAAAGCTAGAAATCTAAAAATACACGCGGGGTTTTCCAGTAAAAGTTGTCGACTGACGAGAATTGGACATCGGTAATTTATTCATATTGTTTTTCAGAAATTTTTTATTGGTCCGTTCGGACTAATTAGCCACATATTTTATTAGTTCGAATGAAAATGTATTAGTCTCAGACTAACGGACTAACGTTAGTGTCGAACCCTGGGAAGAAGCACTCTTGCCCATCATAACTATACACTTAGATTCTTTGCTTTTTTAACTAGAAGCAGGAAAGAATATTTCCAAAGAAATTTTGCTTTTTCACTTTATAATCAATAGAAGCCCCCCCCCCCCCCCCCCCTTAAACCTGGGGTAATAAAATTCACAATTTTGGAAGAGGCATCCTTGCGTATCATAACAATGTACTTAGTCTGTTTAAACAATACCTAGTGGCAGAGAAGATTTTCAAAGGAATAATTCACCTTCACTGTAGGATCTATATAGCCCCACCCTCGCACCAGAACTCCTGTCCCCGGGGCCATGAATTTCCCAATTTTGGGAGAGGCATCCTTGATTATTATAACTATGTATTTAATGTGTTTCAATAATACCCAGGAGCAGAGAAGAAGATTTTCAAAGAATTAAAAATAAATGCATTTTCACTATATAATCAATAGAGCCCCACCCAAACACCAGAACCCCTGACCCAGGGGCCATGAAATTCACAATTTTGGAAGAGGCACTCTTGCTCATCAAAACTATGTACTTAGTTACTGAATTTAATACCCAGGAGCAGAGAAGAAGATTTTCAAATAATTAATGCATTTTCACTATATAATCAATAGAGCCCCACCCTAACACCAGAACCCCTGACCCAGGGGCAATGAAATTCACAATTTTGGAAGAGGCACTCAAACCCATCATAACTATATAATTACTTAGTTTATTTAATACCCAGGAGCAGAGAAAAAGATTTTCAAAGAAATAATGCACTTTCACTATATGATCTATATAGCCCCGCCCTAGCACCAGAACCCCTGACCCTGGGGCATGAATTTCACAATTTTGGTAGAGGACTCAATGCTTATTACAATCATGCCAACAGTTTGACTGCTTGATGTCCAGGAGTAAAGAAGAAGATTTTTAAAGATTGCATTAATTTTGGTAGTTTTAGCCCCACCCCTCAGGCCCCAGGGGGGCAGGGACCATGAAATTCACAATTTTGTTCTCCTTCACCCATAGATGCTATATGATAAATTTGGTTGAAATTGGTTGAGCGGTTTTAGAGAAGAAGCTAAAAATGTTCAAATGTTAACGCACATCGCACGACGCACGCCCACGGACAAAAACGGATAGCAATAGGTCACCTGAGTGACTCAGGTGACCTAAAAATGGGATTAGGGGTTTGATGTGGTTTCTTTAGAAATACCAAATCGTATCCTTGATTATTTGCGCTTTTGATTTAAAACCCACCCCTCCTCCATAAAAAAGGAAGAAAAGAAAGATTATGTCTTAAATTTCTTTAATTTTATATGAAACTCGTATCCGTGAATATTTTTTATCTTTTTATGATACATTGCTTTCTTTTGTTACAGTTGGCTATGTAACATTCGCATTACCAGTTCATGGGCCTATCTTCAAATTAAGAACTAGCCATATAAATATGTTTTGTTCTGCTTTTAAGGGAAAAAAATGTTTTACAACCCGTTTCCAAAAGTTCACTGATCAAAGAGGAACAACTCTAAAAATGTGGGAGATCCCCCCCCCCCGTTGAGTTATTTCCTCCTGTTTGTCGAACAGTTATGAATATGAAGACATAATGAATGGTCTGATGAACTCAGGAACTGAAAACTATAATACATACTAAGTAAGTACCGAAAATGTAACAGAATCGTTTACTGAAATGGCCTGAATTCACGAATATCTTATATGCGACAAACTGGCCCTATCCGACTATCTAGATATACCACTGTCAACAATAGTAAGTGCGCATTTCCTCGATTAAAAACAAAACGTTTTATACATGTAACACTGTACATGAATATTTTGACACATGAATAATTTAAACATAGATAGAGAATTCACAGTTTGATAAAATGACGAATACGAAATTTCCATTTTATCTATAGAAGCAACAGAAGGATGCATATATACAAGAGGGGTGGGTTGTACTTTTAGACCCCTCTCTTGTTTGAAATAAATAAGAAACAATATACTGTAGATTCCTTATTTTACGCGAGTACTTAATATCGCGAAATGGCTAAAGGGCGTCAAATCGCGAGAAAAATAATTCGCGAATGGGTGATTTATCTAGAGATTTTACATACATTAAGGCACCATAAAAATAAAAGCGAGTAATTTTATTTCGCGAGTGGTGCTTCCCGCGTAATTACGCGATAATTTATTCCTCGCGTATATTTAGGAATCTACAGTATCCCATTTACCAGCCTGTTTACATAATAGAAGAGTTGAATTTTCAACATTGTGTGTTCACTTTTAATGAAAAATAAGATTAAAATTCAATGTAAGTTGAATTCATACGCAGGTATAAAATTAAATGCATGTCAGCCATGTGTATGGACTACATATTGTACATGTGGACATAAAATCCTTAGAGAATAAGTTTTACTTTTATTCTAGTAGTTGATAGTTTAACTCTTATTCTAGTTGTCAGCATTTAAATCTGCATGAATGAATTAATTGGTACTTCATGGATTTAAAAGATTAAATATATATCTCGAGGGTAACCTATGTTTCATCAAGCTCTAATGACTGCGTCTAATAAAAAAAAGTGGGGGGGGGGGGGGAGGGGGGGGGGGGGGAGTTCGTCAAATATTGCCTATACATCTGCATTTTAATGAACTGAAAAGTTTTAAGAACTCTGATATATAATGTAAGTGATTTTTTTTAAAGCAAAAGATATTTTCTAGCTTGGAATTTTTCATGTGTATTTGTAGATCTAACAATGTTTTCGTCCCACGTCTGAAAGACGCTCGAGAAACGTGACTTAAGGAGAAAGGGGTGGGGTGATTTTTCGCCATAAATTCAAAACGGCTCGTTTAAAAAAAAATACAAAAAATTATCAAGATTATTTTTGTAACCAGTTACATGAAAAAAGTATTTTTTCCAAAACTAAACGATAGGTTTTTTCGTAAAAAAAAAAAATATCAAAATTGAAAAATACGCATTTTTCAAGGCTTAAAAGAAACCATAGTTTTTTCAGTTTAAGTTCTTCAAAAAATATTTTGGCGATGTATACCTCTACAAAAATACTTTATTTGTGTGGTTAATGGTTAAATGAATGAGTCGATGAAATTTGACAGCCAGACTAGCTAGACTTTTTTGAAAATCAAGGATTTTATAGCTAGCCAATTGAAAATTTATTCTCCTCGTGAACAACCAAAGGGGGGGGGGGTAACTTTTGGAACTTCCTGTCCAAAAACGACTCGAACGATTTTGTCCAAAATGTGCATACGCATTGTATATATAGTTATGTATAAAATATACAAAAATAGCGAAAATTAAACGACAGGAAATTTTTGGTGGGTGTGTTGTACGTCCTTAAAAAGGGGCATTACTTTTCTAGCAGGGAAATACATCTTTATAACGCGTTCGTTTTCAATTGCGTAATTTACAGTATTTTCGTAACATAAATTTCCAACTTTATTCCTAACTGACGCAAGTTATAGCGTGTATGACTTTAAGAGACACTTTTTGCTGTGAATACAACTGATCATTTTTTTTCTTATAAATTCAAACTTACTTATCGTAACAGGCAGTGCTCCCCATCTTCCCGAATGATATTACTCCAGCGCCCCAGGAACTAAACCTATGGCCCCTCATTGTTGGTCTAGCAGTAGGTATACTACTTATGGTGCTATTGGGAATTATCCTCTGGAAGGTAAGTATATGTATGTTAAGCAGAACTTTTAGACCATCAGTGTTTAAGTATTGTAAAGGATTTTTTTTTACCTGTATGTGTAGCTAGTTTTAAAATATTTTGTTAGTGTTGATAGTTGTATTGGTAAACACTTATCTGACTAGTATCCAATTATTCAAATTGGAAAAAAGCTCTCCATTTTTAATATACATGTACTGTGTTGTGGTACTCCTAATAGCTTTTCTTAACCAGGTCCTTGACAATGAAAATGTAGGAATTTGTTAAGATAATCTGGGTTTTTTTATTATAATACAGTTTGTGTTGTTTAGCTCTTTTTATACACTGTGTTGGGTTGTACTATTTGTATATTTTTGTAGGCCTTTTTATTAACAGTAACAACCAAAGAGATACTAAAACTAGCCCCGGGATCATGAAACACCATAAGCTTAAGTCAATTTTTTTTTTATGATGTACTAATATATTGTAGAAGTCAATCAGACAAAAATTTAAAATATTTTTCGATTCTGCTTCACTGAAGTGTTGTTATCTGCAAATTTAGCAATTAATTCATTTTACAGACTATTGAAAATTTGACTTAAGTCCAAGTCTCTTTCATGATCCTAGGGCCCGGTATATTGATAGTAAAATATATGAACTTGTTTATGATTGAGAGGTTAATATAGTCCAGTTGTTTCATGATTTTACAGTTGGGGTTCTTTAGAAGGAAAAAGAGAGAGGAACTGGACCAGTATAAAAGGAAAAGTTACGCCTACCAGAGACAAAGCCGTGCTTTGTTACGGGCCACTAGGGATATGGATAAATCGGAGAGAGAAATATTGTCTCAAAACTCGCAGATAAATTAGGCGTTATACAATTATGTGTTACAAAGAATGTATGTTTTAGCGAGTATATTCATGTTTCTTTAAA